GGGGGGGGGGCCCGCCACACCCCTCCAGGCGTGTGATGTGTCTTAAGAGGTGTGTGGACCTGTTGCGTCGCGGCCATGGACCATGCCCGATATGACGTGCGAATCGCTCAACGAACCTCCTAAACACACACACACACACACACACACGCGTAGATACGTCCAGGCCACGACACGTGTGTGTACGTTGCACTTAGAAGGTGTGTGTGTATGTGTGTGTGTGTGTGCCGCCCGCACCCACCTTGCAGCTTGCAGACCCGTATGTTGTCGACGTTGAAGTCACTCACAGACCGGGGCATCGCCTGCAGACACACACGTGATGAACACACACACGGGGGCTAGGCGTCGTGTGGTGTGGTGTGGTGTGGTTTGTATCCTGGGTAGGTACCTTGACAGCTGCTTCCGCCACGAGCTGAGCCAACTGGTCCTCAATCCCTGCAGGCACCACACACACACACACACACACCACACAAAACAAAGACGGCATGGAAGGGATAGGATGGATGTGCGCCGCGCCCAGCCAGCTCTCTTACCGAGCTGTTTGGACGACAGGGATGTCCTCACGCCTGTTAGTACAGACAGACACGAGGCGACAACAAACTGTGGGATGAATGAAGCTGCTGCGGTCTGGTCTGGTCTGGTCTGGTCTGCCGGGTCGTTCGTTTTGTGTCTGTACTGTATTGTGCGTACGGCACCTTTCCTGAGTTCCTCAACGATGGTCGGGTCCTTGACAGACCAGCACACACACCCTGAGCACACACACATCCACAGACGCACACAGGGAGGGCTTCTCTTGCTGGCTGTGTGTCGGGGCGGTTGCTGTTGCCGACATACCCTCGAGTATCTGCAGCGCCTTCTTGATGGCCATCTCGTAACCCTTAATCACATCCGACGTGTGCAGACCCTGGAGACACACACACACACACACACACAGATGGGGATACCACCCAACCGTTCACCAAGTAAGTCATCACTGTGCCCGCCCGCCTGTTTGAGTAGGTTTTCGGCCATGATGAGCAGCTCCCCTGCCATCACCACCGTCAGGTTCGTGCCGTCACCTGCACACACACACACACACAGATGGCGCCACCCTCATGGGCGTCGGTTTGTCGGTTTGTCGGTTTGTCTGTCTGTCTGTCTGTCTGTGTGAGGTCTGGTGTGGTGTGGTATCCCTACCGTATTCCTCCTCCTGCATTTTGGAGGCCATGACGACCAGCTTGGCGGCCGGATGCACCACCTGGCACGCACAAACACAACACACAAGTCCCTCCCCCCAATGTGATTGATGTGTCTGGATGGATGGATGGATGGATGGATGGATGGAGATGTCGGTGTGTCACAGCAGGTAGGTACCTCACCTCCAGTTCGTTGACCATGGTGGCGGCATCCGAAGTCACATAGTGCTTGTCGATGTGACTGATGATCAACTTGTTCATGCCTGACGTGACGACAGACACCAACCAACGATATCACATCCACACACACACAATTCCCCCCCACACACACGCATAGAATACGCGTATTGTCTTGTCCAGTCAGTCCATAATCTGTCTGTCTGTCTGTCTGTCTGTGCGTCTCTGTGTATGTGTATGTACCAATTCAATTAAGGCCTTACTGTTGGGTCCGAGTGATGTTTTGGTGATGGTGGCGAGGGACTGGCAGGCCTGGATGTTCTTCAACGTCGCCTCATCGATGCCAGTGAAGTGCCGCCCGCCCTGCGCACACACGTCACAGACAGACGGACAGACAGACAGACAGACATTGCGTGCGCCCGGTGGGTTGTTCACATGTATCCCTACCTCTTTGAGCAGCGCGGCGAGGCCCTGCGGCGACGAAAACTGCAACACACAGTACACAGAGCCACATGCAGCACATGCAGACATCAGATCTGGCAGATCTCCCAGTCAGTGCCACGTCACGGCCACAGGAATGCATATGTATGCGGAATGCGGCGCACACCACACCACACACGTGAGTGACGTGCACGGCACCTCCCTCGCCTGTCTGCCCACACACATGGCTACTATGAATGCAATGCTTACCATTCTGACGACGCCGACAAGCTAGTGGTGCTCGGTGATCTGGCTTTTCAAGTCTCAGCGGGCTCACACACGGCAGACAAAGAAAGAGCCTCTCTTCTCACGGCGCTTACAAGCTCGCAGAGAGGGTCGATCAAGATCTGCCACGTCACTCACTCGGCAAACAACCCACGTCAAGGCCTCCCCAGTCGACAGCACAGCTGCCCCTCTGGTGTTCCTGAAAGCTCTGCTCTAGCTCTGCTCCCTCCCCTCCAGACAGCCATGGTGATGAGAGTTTGCTTGTGTGTGGTTGCGCTGTGCCTGGGCCTGGCCAGTGCCTCCATATATGCCCCCGACAGCACGTATGAGCAGCAGTATGAGCCGCAGCAGCCGCAGCAGCCACCTCAGGCATCGCCTGGCGGTGTTGGTGGTGTGCCCCCCTCCCCGTGGCATGAGATGGGCCACGAGGAGATGATGGACCATGTCAGGAAGACAGCCAAGTCGCTCGGTGAGACACATACATACACGCACACACGCACACACAGACAGACCGACAGGCACTCATGAGAGGGGAGGGAGGGCATTTGTGTGTCATCTCCCTCTGTGTGAGTGTTGTGTGCCCTCTGTGCAGGTCTTGAGGTGGGTGCTGAGGAGATGGAGGCCATGGCTCCGATGATTCAGAACTGGCAGAACATGTTCAAGGGCTTCGCGCCACCACCACAGGGAGGGGAGGGCTCACCGGACAGCCCGCACATCGACGCCAACCACCACAAGCAGCTCGAGGAAATGGCTTCGCTCCTCGGCCTCGACAACTGGAAACTCAGCCCTGGTACGCCGCATAGGGCAAGACGACACCACCCGCACTTGTGTGTGTGTGTGTGTGTGTGTGTAATGGATGCAGATCAGATCGACAAGATGGCTCCTCAGTTGGATGAGTACCTCAAGTCGATGCAGTCGCAGCACGGTGACTACATGACGGCCATGCAGGAGCTCATGGAGAAGGGCAAGGCCGGCGCTGACCACAAGGAAATGATCTCACACGCAGCCAAAATGTAAGCAAGCCGCGTCGCGTGAGCGCAGAGATGAAGGGGTTTAGTCGTGAAGTCAATGACCTTTTCTCTGTGTGTGCGTGTGCTTAATGCGTCAATCAATGGTAGGATGAACATGGATTTGGAGGACCACGAGATCGAGCAGATGCTGCCGATGATGAAGCAGTACGAGGACATGTTCAAGAACCTATTCGGACAACAAAACGCACACTCGGAACTCTGAGCATCCAATCCATGGCCGGCTGTCAGTGTATCTACCTCTGTCTGTCTGTATCTGTCAGTATAAGTATACTCACGTGAGTGAGTGTGGCTATCGGATCTATCGGCCTGGTGTGTGTCTGTCTGTCTCCTGTGTGTGAGTGTGTGTGTCATGGCTGTGAGTACGATACATGCGACTGACTGACTGACTGACGGGGTTTTGATTGATAGATTGATCGGCAGTAGGGAGGGAGGGAGGGTCACTGGCTGGCTGGGCTGTTGGGGGGGCTTTTTCTGTGAGTGGTGGTGGGCTGGCTGGTCGGTGAGACGGTGTTACAGACAGACAGGAGTGGTCGATTTTTAACCCTATCCTTCTTCAGTTCATCCATGCCTTGATTCATTGATTCATTCACCGACCCACTCACTGCATTGAGCCACGAATGCATTCATTCATCAAAATTTTCTGCTGCTGCTGCTGCTGTTGGCAGCAGGCAGGCAGGCAGGCCTTGTGTGTGTGTGCGCTGGATGGATGTTGTGTACGTATCTCATCATCGTCATGTACATATCATCATGCCCTCGTGCGGTGCGTTGATTCTGCCGCTGCTCCGCTGCCGCTCACACAGAGAGAGGTGTATATCTTCCTGTTGTTGTGTCTGCCAGCCTATGATGAACGGTGCCATCGGCCTTTCCGTGCTTGAGATGGGCTCCTCCAACTCGACGATCAGAATATGTCGGGTTATTCTGGTTGCCAGGTTGCAGGCTGGCGTCATGAGCACGAAAAGACATCCATGGCATGATACCAGTGGTGCATCAGTCAGTCAGACAATGAAGCGGACAGCAGGAAGGCAGTGCTGCATGGCATGAGTGCGGTGGGTGCCTGCCTCGGCTGATTTGTCACCTCGGCTGCTCTCATAGAGGCCGGGAGGGAGGCCAGAGGCGGCCCACCCACTGCTTACTTACCTGCACGATATATGCCATTTTTTCCCACTATTGCTGCCATGATGTGGGATGCCATGACGTGTTGACGTTCATTGTGTTATCGCTCTCTCATTTCAACCATTCATTATATGGCTGACGCCACATAAAACAAAGCGAGTTCCGTTACGCTACGCCACACACGAGGGAATAAAATGTATGTCACCACACGGAGCTAAAACGAACGAGGAAGATCAGAGAGAGCCCGCCCTCCCAGCACCGCAAACGCCCCCATGCACTGCACACACATAGTCCTGCAGCTACCCCCAAACCCCCCACTACCCCCCACTAAGAAAAAACAACACTTCACAGGTCGATAGACAGAAACAGCTGAGGGCGAGGAAGGCCGGTGAGTTGGCCGGCGCCTGGCGGTCAGGCACACCCGACCGACACACGGCCTTCCCGGCACTGCACTGAATAAAGAGGATAGGAAAAAGTAGCTACGGACATCCGGCAACCCGGACTTACTGCATCTCATCTCAAGGGTGGATGTGCCGTGTGTGTCTTTCCGTGCTCATGACGCCAGCCTGCAACCTGGCAACCAGAATACACCGACATGTTCTGATCGTCGAGTTGCAGGCAGGCGCCGAAGACACGGGAAGCCAGATGGCACCGTTCACCACAGGCCGGTAGATAGACACAACCAACAGGAAGACACAACACATACATCTGTGAGGGCATGCATTCATCAATCAATCGACTGCCTGTCTGGCTGGCTGGCTGAGCTGCCGACGAGAGAGAGGAGGGCGAGAGAGGGCGCATTTCCTGGGTTTGGTGTGGCCATCTGCATATAGCTGTCCATCTCCCTCCCTCCCTATTTACTGTCTATGCGCGCCGAAGCCGCGAGGGGCAGAAGGCGGTGGTGCCCACGTACTTTTCGCAGTAGCTGTCCTCCTGAATGAAACACACAGACAAACACACAGACAGACAGACAGACAACCACTGTGCGTGTGTGTCACACACTTTAGTCCAGTTCAACCGGTGGTTGGGTTGCTTACGCAGCCGGGCGGTTCGGGAAGGTCATCTTTTTCTATCCCGGTGCACTCGGCCAGTTCATCATTGCAGTTGTCCTTCCCGCACTCGACGCATGCCTTTGAGCACTCCCTGCCGCCCAGCCCGCACACCGGATCGGCACCGAAGGGGCCGCACTGCTTCGACCCGCACTGACACGCCTTCACGTAACACGCTAAGCAGCCTGGTCATGACATGACACACACCACACAACTCACGTGTACCACAGCGTCGGTAGGTTCCTCGGCCGTGTGTCTGTCTGTGAGTGCGTACTGTCAGAGAGCGGGGGCATTCTTGCGCGCATGAGGCTGCTGCTGCACAGCGCCGTGTAGTAGTTCTGCCAGAAGGGCGTCATGTCCTCCTGATACCCCGCACACAGACGGTCACACACACGCACATCTCCGAACGGCCAACAGAGATCCCGTCCCCCTGTCTGCAGCTCATGTCATGTGTCCTCTTTAGGTGTCCGTCTGTGCGCTCACCGCATAGAGAATCGCCTGATCTGCCTCGCTGGTGCAGTCGGCAGAGGCGTACCCGACCACACTGCCGAGCACCGTCACGAACAGCGCAAGAATCTTCATGGGGAGGGACAGACGGATAGATGTGCTTGCCACGAGAGATCTCGAAGCGGTCTGCTTGGAAAAGTGCGAGCTTGAATGAGAGGATCGGTCAGCAGATCGGAGGCGGGTGAGAAGGCATGGACGTGATATTGCGGTACACACCACTCACACACACGTAGATATGAATGGATCTGTGAAAAAACCGCACACCACACATGTATGCTCACAAATTGTGTGCCATTGTCTGTCTGGTGATCAGAGTTCGGCATCCAGGGGCACCGGCTGGCGCTCAAGTTTATGTGGTGAGAGATCAGACCACATGCACACTGCACAGCGCACTCATTTGTGGTTGGAATGGCCTGTCTGTGTTGGTTTCGGTTTGTGCAGTCTGGGAGCACTCGTAGCCTGGGATCTTGGCAGTCCGGTGCGCTGCTGCCGCTGGTGCTCATCTCGCCCACCAACGCCGCATCCTCGTCATCGACCACCAGCGCACAACCGCCGCTGGGTGGGGATGCACACATGCACTCACCACAGCACCGGTTTGCCTGTCCGTGTTTGTGTGTGGATGTGTTGTATTGTCCTCCCATCCATCCATCAGACATTATCTCGGGTCCCGTGTGGATCTCTCCGCCCCTGACGATCCCCCGGGGTTGGCCTAACGTCGAGTACCGATATGCTGTCAGGCTGGCCGGGCTCACCGCAAAGGAGAGAGACCACCACGGGGACATCCAATGGGAACCCATCACCGGTCGGCGCGGCAACACACACACACACACACACACACACACTGCCATAGACGGGAGAGCGAGGTTGTGTGGTGTGTGTAGGTAATCGTGTGCTGCGGTGCAGCAAGAGGACGGGCACATTCATCGTCAGCGACCTTTACGGTAAACGGCGACCGTGAGGGAACGCCACAGCTGCATGCGTCGTGTTGCCTTTCTTGCGAGGCAGGTCTGAAGTCCGCCCCTCAGCTGAAAAGGGCGACACTCAGAGAGTAACCAACACAAGACAACACAAGACGACACAAGACGACAGACACACTGACGAAGAGGCAGACATGACACAACATCCTAGGACCTACTTGTGTGTCCCACCCCACCAACAGGGTGCGTGAGTTGTATTCGTCCTACTACGGCAGGTCATGGGACCAGGACGACCAAGACTGGGACTGGTTCGACGTACAAACAGACCACGATAACGACAACGACCACGAAGACGACACCCACACACACAACGGTCCAGTGACACTCAGGTAGGTCACCACACGATACGAGGCATGTGCATCAGACAGACAGACAGTCAGCGCATATCGAGCCACGCTACGCAATGCAATGCAATGCAGAGCTTCGGATGGCCACCGGCCGTCCCACATATACACCCACCACGAGCTGTCGTCGTCCAACGGCCCCCGTGGAGGGCACGGCGAGCGGTCGTCAGCCATCGAGTGGGAGTGGGCGGCCGTCAGCACCGACCACCCCCGCCACCTCGAGGGTGACATCAATTGCGTGGGGGACGACAAGCGGAGAAAGGACCTCAACGCGTCTGTTGGTGGGCGTGACACACACACACTTACACCAGTCTGTGCATCTGTTTCTCTGCTGACGCGATTGTGTGCATCGCTGGTGTGTGTGTGTGTGTCTCAGTTGCTGCCCAGTTCGTGAGCCCCATGTAAAGGAGACAGGATGGCCGTGGAGAGAAGCTGCTGCAGAGAGTGTTACGTGTGGATGCGTTGCCTTTATCTTATCTATCTGTCAGCACGTCGGATGGAACGACTGACATGAATGAGTGCAGTGCGTGGGGCGGGAGGAAGTGAAGGCGATGCAAACATGCAAACAACCAACGCGACAGACAGCATATCTGAATCGTTGCACTGCACGTGTGTCCTGAGTGAGTTTCCTCCCACCAAGCTAGGCTTGTCCATCCACCATAAGCATGGTTCAGTTGTCTCTGTGTGGTTCAATCGTTGTGGCCCAGCCCACCTACCGGCACACTCTGTGCACTCACTTGCCCTTCTGGTTTGGCGTCAGTCACCCCTCTCCCTCCCTCTCTTGAAGTCAGAACCAGGCCACGGTGTCACACGCCCACTGGTCGATGAGCCAACGACAGCATGGCCCAGTCCCGACTCAAAGGAGCGGGAAGGGAGAGACACACAACACCATTACTGAACCACACATCTGCATCTCTCGCACACAACGCCATGCCACGCCACGCCATGCCGCCCGCCCACGTTCGCTGTACAACGCATCGCATGCACTTGTCTTGTCTGTACACCACATTTGTCCACGCACGTGTCGTCTGTCTGGATGATCAGTCAGTCAGTCGACCCTGACGACGAATGTCCTGTTCTGCCAGTAGTCGGTGTGCACTGCCATCATCCCGTGGTCATACGACGCGCCGCCCTCCCACACTACCGCACCAGACCTCTCCACAGACGACAGACTCGTGCGGATCTGAACACACACACAGTCCACACACGCGTCCGCACTCTCAGTATTGGTGTGCAGGCTTGTTTGTGTGTGTGTGGTGCTGACCACATTCCATGTCCAGTGGGTGTGTTCGAATGGGAGGTAGATGGGGGCGCAGAGGTAACCGCCACGAGCCGTGAGACGGACAGCCAGACGCAGGATCCGCTCAATGCCCTGCAATGAAGAAATGAATGAAAGGATCAGTAGAGCACAGAGAGTGGCGAAGGAAGATGGCCGGCGAGTGTCTGTCTGTAGCTGTGTGAGTGTGGTGGGTGTGGTGTGTGCACCTTGAGTGTGGGTTTGAACCACTTGCCGAAAGGTCCGTGTCTCTGCGTGAAGCGGTACTCTATCACGGGGCGCAAATGGACCACAACACAGCCAAACCTACACACACACGGATGCACACACATGGATTGGATGCAGGAAACACACGTGCCGGCGTGTGTGTGTGTCTACGTGTGTGTGTACCGGCTGGCCTACTTGAGGTTGCTGATGAGCATGCTCTTGAGCTCCTCGTCGATATCTGCCAATCGACACACAACACACACACACACACACGTATGTTGTATGTTGTGTGGTGTGTGCTGGTGTGACTGCTCACTTGACCGATGTAGCGCTGTGCACCGGTGCTGCACGTCATTCAACTTGATGTTCTGACACACACACGATGACACACTCACACACGATGACGACGCACATTAGATAGATGCCTGTGACACTCACTGGGCTGCATCGCATCAGCCTGTCTGCCTTTGTGCCTGCCTGCCTGCCTGTTCGATGAGTGCGGTTGCCGTGAGCGAGTCCTCGAGGAAGACCACCTCTGCCGCACCCTTGGCCGCCGCCTGGATGCCCATCGCACCGTTGTTCGAGTACATGTCTAACACAGTCAACTCGCCACCTGCGCACACACACGTCCATAGAAACCCGAGGTACTTGCTAATCTGCGTGTGTGTTGGTGTCTATGTGTCTACCTCCGCAGAGGTCGCTGACGAATTGCCGGGTTTCGCGCGCCTGATAGTCCCAGCCTACACGTGGACCGACAGACAGAGGACATCCATCTGTCTGTGGACACATTGCTATGCACTCATGTGTGTGAATGAGTTAGTGCTCAGCTCACTTCTGGTAGCTCCTGCGAGGAGGTTCATGAAGAAGGCACAGTCGCCCTCGCGGATCTTGACATTGTGGTCCTGCAGACAGACGACAAATGGATGGATGGATGCCATTCATTCGCTGTCGGCTTACGTCTCCTTTGGCGAGGAACTCGAGGTACTCGTTGCCCCCCTGTGCGCGTTTCTCCTTCTTAGAGTTGAGTTTGTGGACGGCCATCACCTTGGGCCGCAGCAGCGCCTCAAGCTCGTCGTATATAATGCCCTCCTGCAGGACCGACACACAGACAGCATTTCTGCCTTTCTGCAGCACAGCACGATGGCGGATCCCCTGTCCTGTGTGTGTGTGTGTGTGTGTGTCGTCTTACATATTTTGGCATCGCGATGGTGTCGAAGCGGACGAGCAGCGCCTGAATGAAATAAACCCGTGACAAACAAAGGAGAGAGAGCGCAGCTTAGCTTAAGGCAGTGCAGCGGTGGTGTGTGGATTTGCTATTTGCCTGCCCGTCGGTGCCGTACCTTGCCCAGCCGATCGATGAAGAGGCCTGCAGTGCACCACATATATGTGACACAACGACAGACACAACGACACAGCAAAAACCAGCGGTCAAGACAATCAATCAATGCACGCGTCTGCCTGCAGGTGTCCGACACAGGTAGGTGTGTGTGTGAAAATGCGTGTGTGTGTGTGTTCAGACGAAAGAAGACCAGTTGAGGTCATGGGGTGTGTCCCTGAGCTTGACTTGTGTATGGGACACCCTCACAATTAGCATGGACTCAGTGCATCATCACACACAACCACTAAACCCTCTCTCTCCCTCTCGCTCTCTCTCTCTCTCTCTCTCTGTGACCCACCAGGTAGCTTGTCAGCCTCGCCATTGACGAGCCGATAGAACGGCTCCCTGTACCGACGCTCACGCAGCTGCAAAGCCTGCACGACACACACACACAGCCACACACACACACACACACACACACACACAAAAGAAGTAGCGAAGAGTTTGCATGCTATTGGACTCATCCCATGTCCCTTTATGCTGCTCACTTGTCTGATTCGTTGTCTCAGCAGGTCGTCCGTGATGGTCTGGTCAGTCAGACAGGCAGACGCAGGCGGGCAGCCGGTGAGCATCCGCACAGGAATCGACGACTGCCGGTTCCACAAACCAACGCCCAACGGAGCACCTGCACACACACACAACCCACACATCGATGATGCAGGCAAACACACACATCTCTCCTGTCTGGCTGTCTGGCTGTCTGTCTGTCTGTCTGTCTGTCTGTCTGCTGTCTGGCTGTTCACCCACCTTGGTGGTCCAGCACATTGACGATGCTGCCCGCAGGAATGTCGGTCATGCCACCGATGCCCTCTACCTCAGAGTCATACACCCACGGGTGGCCGCGGCGCATCTGCTCCGCCCTCGTGTACTGAGATGGAACTGGTGATGCCACCGCCTCAGCAGCAGCAGCAGCCGGTGGCGGATCTGCCTCTGCCCGCTGCCCTCCTCCGTCAGTCGGATCTTCCTCGCTGAGATCTTGCTGCATCTGTGCCTTGGGCGCCTTGAGCATCACACAGGGCCGTTCATGGGGCAGGCTGCGGAGCGACGGCCCCTCGTGTGGCCCGACACTCATGGCCTTGGTCGACACAGAGGCAGATGAGAGACGGACGAGCGGGATGCGAGGCGGTGGACGGCCGACCGTGTGACGTCGAACTGACCGCAAAGAGGACCGCGTGAGCTCCATCTCTCAAGACCAGTCGGCGTCTGCCTGCGAGAGAGAGCGGTTTCGCGCGATGCCTTTCCTCACTGCGAGCTTGGCATCCGCCAGGGAGATACCGAAAATGACTGAAGACAGGGAAACCACACCGAACAACATTAACAGAGAGAAAACCCCGAGGGAAAACGGACGTCCAGCACGTGAGCAGAGCAGAACACACTCGCGGCACACGAGCGGCTTGTGTACACAGACAGAAGATAAATGCCTCAGAAACCACGACGTGTATGTGTACTCTCCTGCTTGTGTGTTGACTGCCCATTGCACTGCAGTGGATGATCAGTTCGATGATGAGCCGCTGTCGGTCACTGTCCATGATGATGCTCGGATGAGGCCGAGGAGGTCACGCAGCTGGAGCGTCACAGAACAACCAGGTGACAAAAGCAAAGCACCAAACACAACACAACCACGTTTGTTGATCGGTCCGTCCACTCACTGACTGTGGTCCTTCGTGTCGTCAGCGCCTCCCTCCCCCTCTGCCGCCCCTCAGCCAATCAGCCCGAGTGTGAGGGGCGACGGTGAGGCCTTCCACACGCCGTCTGCGGGGCAATCAGAGGACGTCTTCTTTGATGTGACTGACGAACCTCCCCTGCCCGGACTCAACTCGCCCACCAAACCGCCCGGATATGCAGCGGTCTCTACGCCGACGACACGCCAACGTGAGCTCACGTGACAGGAAATGACTCAAGGGGGGAGGGCGCCCTGCGATGAGTGTGTGTCTGTTGATATGTCTGTCTGTTTGTGTGTGTTTGCAGGCATCTATCGTCAGCTGATGGATCACGAGAGGGAGTCCCCTGGCCAGAGGGACACCGAGGGCGCCGGCAAGGTCGTGGATCGGCTGATCCGCCTGTCGTGGGCCCACTCACACCTCCAGTCCAGCGCCAGCGGCGTCGGCATGCAGGAGCGCCGCAGCGAGCCCCTCGGCAGCTTCGTCAGCGACGACACACAGCGGGGCAGCATGACCTGCCGCAGCTCACCTGCCACACGCATGACGAGGAAGGAGGCTGAAGCTGATGGGGTCGAGGAGGCGGTGGATCTGCCCAGCATTCACGTGTCGGTGAGCTCGCCGGCAATGGAGGTCAGCGAGGAGGATGCGACCGCTGCTATAGCTAGGAGGGAGGAGAGGGAGGGGGAGGGGGACCCGTGGGCTGAGGTGCCACGTGACGAGTCTCCTCCTGTGCCGCCCGCACTGCCCATACCGCCATCAATGGTGCCGAAAAGGCAAAGACGGGTAGGTACGGGCACACACAGTGCATCCATTTGTGTGTGTGTGTGATGCACCGCACCGACAGGGATAGATGCCGTCCGTGGTCACTGTGTTCCTTTCAGAATGAGATCCTCGATTGGCGAGAGATGGAGGAGCGGCAAGCCGAGGCGAGCGACGAGAGTGGCAGGCAAGTATCTTTCTCACCGGCCGTCACGCCAACGCCGCCCGGCTCTGTCACCGCAGTGGCCAGTCCGCCCAGCAACCGCTTATTCGAGTTCTTCTTTGTAAGCAAGATGGTGGCCAAATTATATCCGCAGAGAGCGGAACTGACTGACGGCATGGGTCTTCCTTCATCTGTGTCGTCTTGTCTTCAGATTATCGGTGTGTCACTAGACACGCTGGAGCACCTGAGCAGCCAGCAGGCAAACGACGACCTCACTGCGTCGAGTCAGTCGCCCTCCCCCTCCCCCTCCACCCACAACACCGGTCCCCTCCCCCTCCCCCCGGCCAGCGCATTCGTCCGCCCAGCACCCTCAGCATCAGGTGGCCTGCTGCCGTCCGTCGCTGCTCGCCTCGACGGCAGGATGGGCGGCTGCGCTGCCGTGCCACCCGGGGGCCGCAGCAGCCGCTCCTACTTATCATCCCGTCGGAGTGTGGGGTCGTCGTCAGGGCGTGAGAGGGAGAGGGATAGTGGGGGCGAGGGGCGTGGGGGCCACCGGCGGTCTTGGGAGGTGCCGCTGGAGGTGGTGACGGCATTTCCTGTGAGAAACAAGAAGGGTGGCGCTTCCAAGGGTGCTGATGCTGAGGGTGCGACTGCTGCTGCTGCCGACAAGACGGCGCTTGAGTCTTGTATTTGTGACTTCTGCTTTCCGCAAGGTCAGCTGAATAAGCTACTTAGTGGATATATATCAAGTCTTGCCTGAGAGTGTAAATAAATGAAGGTGTGTGTTGTGTTGTGTTGTGAAGGTGGTGTAGAGGTATACGAGGTGTGCACTGCGAGTGAGTCGTTTTCAGAGCTGAATGAGCTCATCTACAGCCAGCAGGCCGTCAGGCAGCGGGGCGAACACACCTTCGTCTTCACCCTCGCTGCCGCATCCGTACAGGTAAACAGAAATACAATCGATGGATGGATGCCTCATGGAAAGCGATGAATGACTTCTGTGTGTGTGGGTCGCCCTCGCCCTCGCCCCCTCGTCTGACACGTCAGGAGGTGCCTGATGACAGCATGTTTGACCCAACGGACCTGCTGTATTGCTTCTGCCTGATGAAAGAGGAGCTCCTGCAGAAGCCACCCACCACCGCCCGCTCTCCCCCCTCCCCGGCCTTGTCCTTCCCGCCCCCTCCCGACGCCTGGCGCGTGCCTCACTGCTACTGCATCGTGTCGCGGTACCCCTACTTCCGGCTGTTCTTCGATGTCCTCTTCGCCGTGCAGGCCTTCAGACAGCTTGTGAACCTGCAGCTGTTTCATCCCGACGGTGTGCCGGACAGCGACACGGCCAAGGAGGACTGGCAGTGGATCGAGGCGCAGGCCACCACTGACCCGACGCCCTTCTCGCCGGATGTGCTGACGAGAGAGTGGCGGCTGCGGAGGACGCCTGTGGTGCTGTCGTCTGCGTGTCGGTATGTGTTCCATCGGCTGAGGCAGCTGCGGGCGCCGCAGCCAGGGAGCACTCTGGAGGTCCCGCTGCCGCCGCCACTCGACTGTGTCCGCTATGTGCCGCCAGAGGCGCCACACAATGTACGTACATGACCAGACACATAGCACACCCATGCAGCACACTGATCAATGTGATCCTCCTTCCCTCCCCTCCCTGTGTTTGTGTGGGTCATGCAGCATTATTTGGCCGAGTGGTCGTACGGTGTGCTATTTTCGCGTCTGCCGGTGACGTCTCTGCTGGTGCTCATCAGCGCCGTCCTGCTGGAGCAGAAGATCGTTGTCATATCCAAGAGCATTGCTGTCGGCACGGCAGTCGTCCTGGCTGTGCCAGCACTCATCCAGCCATTCAAGTAACTCTCCAACCAACCAGAGGAGACGACAGCAACCAACACACTCGCCACTCTGTATGTCCCCATGGCATGGCAGGTGGATGCACGTGTTTCTGCCGATCTGCCCGACATCTCTGGCCGTCAACTTGATCGAGGCCCCTGTGCCCTTTCTCGTCTCACTGCAGGCCCTCCCCGCCGCCCTCCAGCAGCACATCCACGCCATGCAGCAGCTAACACCCTCACCCAGACCCTCCGACATGTCCGCATTCGGCGCACCGCCCTCTCTCCCGCTGCCCCTGGCGAGCAGGGACGGCTGTGACGAGATGGACACGGACAGTGCGATGGACCTGGTGGTCATCGACATCGACAACGCCACCTACTGGGTGGGCAGCAAGGCCCTCACACACAAGTTGGCGGGCGCCCCTCAGCTCTTCAAGGCTCTGGGCAAGTTCCAGCTGCTGCTGCAGCACCCCTCCCAGCAGCAGAGAGCACCCCCACCACCATCCCGCCCCACGCCGCCCACGTCATCTCCCAGATCGGCCGTGACGGAGCGTGTCAGCCGCAGCCCCCGATGGATGGCGGCCATCACCAGGCGGACCAAGAACGTGGAGGGTGGCAAGAGGTCCGTCACAGAGGAGGGGGAGGCCACGACGACTGCCAAACAGGACTCACAGGAGGAGATCATGGACGGCGAGGGAGAGGAGGACGGAGGCGGTGGCAAGACGCATCGGCAAAGGGGACAGCGATTCTTTGCCGGCGCTATGGGTGCGTACGCACGCACGGTGCAGCCAGCCAGCCAGAAGATGATCGGTCAGTCACAATCCCATAAATTTGTTTCTGTGTGTTTCGCACATCTGTGCAGCTCTGCGCATCCCCCGCAGCCAAGGCCGCGTGATCTCCGCGCCTGAGGCAGCCCCCACAGGCAAGGGTGACCGCTCACCCCCCTCCCTCACCAGGAGGCGCCTGTCGCTCCCATCGGTGGTCGGCTTCGGTGTGCATCGCACCAGCGGCGGCGGGCCCCCCTCCCCCTCCCCCAACTCACCCAGGGAGTACACCCCTCGCCCCACCTCACCCGCTGACGCCACCACGACCAGTCATCGATCTGTCGCTGGCGCGCTCTTCTCACGCCCGTCCGCATCCCCACATGCGTCACTATGGAGGCGGGACAGAGACAGAGACAGAGGTGCCCCGTCAGTGTCTGCCGGCGGCTCCCCGCTGTTCAACAACCACGGGGGCATGGGTGGGATGGCTGTGGGCCCGCTGGGTCTGGCTGTGCTGGGTCTGGGATTCGAGTTCACAGCCGAGCAAACGGAGCTGCTGCACCAGATGGGGGATCTCCTGCAGGCCGCCGCGGAGCTGCTCGCCAGCCACCTCAAGATCTTCGTTCGCGAGTTCTACAACGTCAACCCCGTCCCACCGGTGCCCCAGAACCCGCCGCCCACACCACCGCCACCACTGGGCAGACGTAGCACAAAGGAGAGGCTGGAGGCTGATGACCGATTTGGGCTGGAGGAGGCACAAAACGGAGTAGTGGTGGCTGATGGGGCGCCGGCGCCCGTCGCTTTGTCCGCTGCAGTGGGGGGTGAGGGGGTCACCCCACCCCCGCAGATGCTGACGTTGCTATATGATGTGGAGAGCCTTGGGCGTGCGTGGGATGAGTATGCCGGGCGCAACTTCGCTGTGTGTGATCGGCCCTTCGCTGTGTCGTACTTTCGGACGCAAATGTGCCAGTACCAGCTAGAGAGGCTCATTCGCGAGCTGATGCTGCCGCAACAACAGTGATGTCCGGAACGAACGAATGCACACCTGCCCACGTGGCGTGGCGTGGCCTCTCTCTTTGTTGTCCTATGTGGACGTACGTACGTACGTACGTGTAATTGGTGTGTACGTGTGTGCTTTACGTCTATCTATCTGTCAATACGCCATCATTTGATGATTTTGCGATCGACAGAGCTAGCACAGCAACAGTCCGCTCCACACACAAGCCAGACCAGTCCAATTGGCACCCATAGACATGGACACGTACACACACTCACACACAGACACAGACACACAGCCCCCTCCGCCCCCTCAACGCTCCTCCGGCGCGGGTTGCTGCTGCTGTTGTTCTCTCTCCGGCTCATCGCCCGTTGACTCTTCAGCAGGGTTTCCAGACGACTCGCCCCCAGAACTCTGTGTCTCGGTAGAAGGGAAAGCGGCGGGCGGCGGCGATGCCTCGGGGTCACTGGGGAAGACCAGAAAGTCAAAGAAGACGTCCTCGCACTCCCTGCCCTTGGTGCCCTCCACCGTCCTGGCCAGCACGCGGAAGTGCTTCGTCGTGACGTCAGATATCTGGAAGCTATACAGCACTGACGCGCAGTCGTCGCCGCGCTTGGACCTGACGGACCGGCAAGCCAAGGCAAGAGGAAGGAGCCGAGAAAGAGATTGCCATTTCTTGTGTCGTGTGTGTGTGTCTGTGTGTTGATTCGAGGGGGCTGACCGAATGATGCCGAAGACCTTTGGTGGCGTCTTCTTGTAGGCCTTGTTGTATGTGAGCTTAGTCGACTCACCCACCGTCAGACGGACACGACCAAGAGTGAGACCGCTGGGCAGACGGACTGCATTTCATACCAACAAAAAAATAAGATGGATGGGATCAGCCAAGCCAGTCAGTATGCAAGCTGTGTCTCGCCGTGTGCACGGCCGTCTCCCCCACCCCCCTTCCACCCACCAGATCCGAATACTTCCTGGTCAAATATGACCTTGGCGATCGGCCCGTAAGGCGCCTGTGGCGGCTGGATGGCCACCCAGTGAAGCACCACCGTCACATCCTTATCCCACCCCTTGGCCTGCCACCCCATTTTCCGGCCTGTACCGGCGTCCACTCGGCCGTACTTGGCCTTGTAGCCGTGGTGCGTGCTACTGTGGATGTTGACGGCCACACCAGAGGCGAATGTGCGGGAGGTGGCCGAATGGGAGGGGGGGTGGAAGAGCTCAGGGGTGACGAACACAAGGGGGGCAACGAGGGAGGGCGAGAAGGGGCGGCGGAAGGGCCGTACCACGTAGGCAAGCCGGTCGATGGACGTGTGAAAAATGTCGGAGCCAAACTCGACAAAGAGATCATCTGGGGGGCAGGGCAGGCAGAAAGAAGCAGACCAGACAAAAGACCAGTCAGTGGCTACACAAGCGCAGAGACACAATATATATATGTCTCTCCTTACCTTCAGGGAACTCCACTATATCGATGTATGCCGTCTCATTGCCTACGGGCTCGGGCCACCCTGGCCCGGGATCTTCCCTCTCCCCCCCGGCGGGCAGGTTGCCCGTCATTCGTCTCAGCTCCGTCACTTCGCTGCTTTCCACTGCCTTGAAGACCGAGAAGGTGAATGCAGCCGGCATCTGGCTGTTGTCCAGGGTGTGCACGGTCACTGCGAATGTGGCATTGGCCGCCCAGCCGCGACTCGCACGGACCTGCCGCACACACAAACACACATGCACGATGGATGGATGATTCATGCACGCCTTTGCCTTGGCCTTCTCCCCTCCCTCCCCCTGTGCCGTACCGATGCGAGCACTCTCCTGGGGGCTCTCTTGCGCTTCGGCCATGTGAATCGGTATGTCTTGAGGGCGTCCGTGCTGCCGGGCAGTGGGAAAGTGACCGTTGCAAAAGGCCAGTCGCACAGCCAGGTGCCCTCAGTGGAGCACGACAACAGAGCCGACAAGTCCGATTTCTCGGGAGCGGGCGTTGTTGTGGCGTTGGTTGCTGCAGTGGGGACGATGGGCTGCGACTCTTGGAGGAACGAGGAGGGGGTGAGAGGGCGGAAGTCAGCTTCTGCCACACATCAGGGGAAGATGGATTATGGCATTTGCGGCATCTGATTTGCATGCACCTCTTTGGCTGAGCTCCGCGTCTGCGAGAGGCCCGTGCATCCTTGCGAGGTACCCCATGGGGAGGAGGAGGGCCAGGGAGAGCCACAGGGCCTTCATTGTCAGCGCCTGTGCGATGTCTGCGATAACCACTGTTTCTCTTCTTCTCGGAGTGGTACCAAAGGGAGAGTCAACGGCCCCCCAGGCGAGCTCAGATGGCACCGGGTGCGGCGAGTGTGCGTTTGTTTCCATTTGACGCTGATCCCGAGTGTTGAATGCCTGTCACTGACACTGATCTAGAGTCCGAGGGCCGGCTGCCGCTGACTCACCCTCCGGAGTCTGCCGAGAGTGACAGCGAACGCGGTCAGGCGTCCTCCCCGCTGGCGTCGTCCTCACTGGGCATGGAGGCCTTCTCCCTTCGTCGTGATGAGGACGACACCGAGCGCGACCGGTCCCTGTTGTCGACATCTCCCACGTCGAGAGAAGCTACGGCGAGGTGGTTCTACTGGCGAGGGGGGAAGCTGAGGGTGTCGAGGGCAGCATACCAGATCATGACGGGCATTCTCTTCCACATCCTGCTTATCGTGGTCGTGGAAACGGTCTTCTTCTTCACGTGAGTGACTCAGTCACACGTGCAGTCAGTCGCATGCAGATGGCACACAGACGAAGGGTGCGGTGCGACATGGTGCTGTGTGTGTTGCCCTGTTTGTTAAGGTATGTGACGCGTCAGGAGATGCTGAGCTTTGGTCGGAATATCAACACGACAGGGTACTCTGCCGCCAAGACCAGCGTGGAGGAGCTGCAGCAGACCCCCACCGGCAAGCAGCTGCTCTGGACGGCTCATGTCGCACTCACAAACCCCAACAAACGCCAGGAAATCGCACAGGTCAGAGACACATTGGCAGGCAGGCAGGCAGTGCACTCACCGTTGTTCCCAGCCGCCATTGGCTTTCTAATGGATTCTATGTGTGTGTGTTGTGTGCAGGAGATAGTTTTGCAGATCGAGGTGCTGCGTCGTGCTCGTCTCGTCCTCGAGAATGCACCCATTCCGTGGGAGAAACTCAACATCACCAAGGAAGAGGCTCACGATATGCTCGAGAGTACCCCACCCCGCACAGAGGGAGGGAGGGGGGAATGCAGCGAAGAGCGCTGGTATGTGTCTCGCGTCTGTGTGTGTGTGTGTGTGTTCAGAGGATGACCAGGCCGCGCAGAACGTGATCCAGCTGCTGCACAATGTGACGGCCAGCCACAGCAATGACTTCGATGTGTACCTCCAGAAATACGTCCAGGGCAAACGAGACAAGGGTAAGCAACCGGAGACGCAGCAAGGGCAAGGGCAACTGCAGTCAGGAGTTTCTCTGTCTGTCTTTGTGTGTGCAGCAATCGAGCAGCGCCACCGGCGTATGGCTGCCAACCGCAGCCTGGTGTTCCGTGCCATCGAGTTCAACGTGTGTGTGGCGTTGCTGGTGCTGGCCTGGGTCTTCGGCACCCCCCTGTATCTCTCAGACGCTCGCCTCAAAGACCTCCGGTGGAACGCCATCCTCCGCGACAACGCCATACTCATGTTCCTCCTCGCTCTATTCGAGTTCGCCTTCTTTAACTTCTTCGTCTCGAGGTTCAAAGTGGCCAGCAACGCTGAGACCATTGATGCCCTGGTGGAGACGACGCTCGACTACCTGAAGAATCTGAAAGTCGAGAAACCCTAGTGGCCACAGGCGGTGGGTCGTACGTGTCATGTGGGGGTATGGAATGGAATGGGGGATGTTTTGTCGGAAACGTTGCTTCTTCTGTTACCTACATGGTCGGTGCTGCTGTTGTTCTGTTGATACGTTCGTTGATTTCCCCCGTGTTGGTTTGTTTGGTCAATACGTTAGTACTAGGTAGGTGATGTGATGTGATGACACGAACAAGAGCAACAGACAGTGAGTGACTGCTGGCGGCCGGGCCTCCCATGACCTATCTATCTGTGTGTAATTAAAGGAAGGAGACATTTGTCCGCTGGTCGGCTCGTGTGTGTGGTGAGTCCATCCATGCTGTATACTGACTGTAGCTTGCTGCTGGACAGAAGTCAACTTATGTGACGGACGGACGGACGGACAGCTATGGTCTGCCTGCTACAACCAATCAACTGGATCAAGTGCGTGTCTCTCATCCATCGATTCATGTCTGTCTTCACACGCGCCGCTAATGCTCGACGGCAGTACGTGCATGTACTCATCGATGTATACAGGCGTCCCTACAGACAAAAAGCCCTCGGTGCGAGAGACCTACCATCAGCACTCTCATGCTAGCATCACATTAGCTAGCTCCTCAATGTGCACACGCCGTTGACCGAATCGCTCTCCAACGTGACAGCCGAAGCGTCGAGCCCCACTGCACTCAGCATCTTGGTCAGCTCCATCAGATCGGTGTTGTCGAGCTCGTCGAGCCGCTGCAGCAGGTGGGCACCGATGGCACGCATGACGGCCTGCAGGTCGTCAGCAGTCTCAGCTCGGCCGAGTGGATTTGGCCCAACCATTGCGCGGCTCATCCTGACACAACACACCCACCGCGCGGATGCATGTAAGTACGTGACATGATGGGTCTGTCTGTCTGTCTGTCTGCCACACCCACACAAGCGTGTTGTGTTGAGTGGTGGACGTCATGTATGTGTGTATGGTTTGTGTATGGTACCATACATACCTGAGAATCTGTTTGGTTGTCCTCCCCTTGATGTAGGGCAGGAGCTGACCCCTCACAGCCTTGACAGCCACAGTGTATCGATTCCCCGCCCGCTTTTCACCGAGGCACTCGAGCGCATCGATCAGCTCATCCAGGGCCACCCAGCTGACGGTAGATCGGCTCACCCGTCCCCAATTGATGGCTTCCCCAGCAGCCGCCAGATGCTCCCACAGTAAATGGTCATCCGCTCCTGGCCGGCGACAGCCGGGCCCCGTGGCGAAGAACTGCACCAGCGTTGCCCAATCGCGCATTCCCAGCTCGGTGGCCCCACCCTCTGCCGCCGTCAGCCGCTCAATCGCTGCATGTGCTAAGGCACATCGACGGGCCCCCCAGGCCTCAGTGTCATAGGCACAGAGGTCATCATGTCGCTTGCACGCCAGCGACAGAGCGCCACACAGGCGAGCGAGGGTCTTGAGGAAGAAGGCGTCAATCCGTCGAGTCGCCTCGTCAGCCACGGCAGCAAACAGAGATGGGGGCGCCAGGCCCGCGTTGAGAAAGGCCCAGCAAAGGACGGTCAGGTCGGGGGGAGTGCAGTCTCGCAGAGTCCACATGCTGCTGCTGCTGCTGCTGCCGCGGCGCGAGCCGTCCACGAGAGCCCCAGCCACCGTGTGGAAGAGACGGTATACATCGGCGCGCTTATCGACATCGGCCGCATTGTCTCTGCTGCCCCTGGCCGGCATGATGAGCTTCGATAGCGCCCACATGAGTGCGATGAGGCGACCTGGGGGTAGGGAGGGGAGGGCGGATGCGGAGAGGGTCTCGAGGGCGCTGGCGAGATCCTGGACGAGCAGCAGCCGCTGGGTGGCCGGAACGAGGGGCTCAGAGGACGCGCGTGGGCGTGCATTAGCGAGTGCATATGTGAGCCGGGAGAGCTGTGCCCCATCAAAGCGGTCCAGCTGCGAAACCACTCCGGTCACCAACATCCTGATTGACAGACAGACAGACAACACACACAGCAGCAGAGACCGTGAGTGAATTGAATGAGCCAATCAGGATGTTGTCCCCGCTCACTCGAATATCGGCGTGTCATCAGCCAGGCCGGTCTTGCTTATCACATGGGAAAGGCCGATCAGCTTCTCTGGTGACAGCCTGATCGCTCCGTCCCCCTTGATTGCGTCGATGATGCTGGTGTGTGCGATGAGTGGCCGCACCAGAGCGGCCTGCCGCACACCGCTGCCGACAAAGGCCAGGGCCAGGTCGACCAGCTGGTCGGCAGACGGAGGGGGGAGGAAAGCGTGTGTCGATGGTGATGGCGATGGCGCCAGAAGAATGAGCGTCTGCTCGGCACAGTACCTGTGTGTGTTGGGCAGACGGAAATTGCACACACACATCCATGTCATGTCCAATCTCCACCCACCCCTGCTTATTACCTCATTTCCTGTCGGGCCTTCCATTTCTGTGAGTGCAGGGCAGGGAGAACACGCGCCGTGCGCACCACCATCGAGAAGTCCTGCACAACAGACACAACAAAGGCAACACTCTCTATCCACTAACCCACCCTTCCACCTTGTCTGTCTGTCTGCCCTGGTGGTCCCACTCAGCTAACCTGCACGTTGCCCTGTTCCAGTCTTCGCCGCAACTCGCGCCGCACCAGCTTCCGTGCTGCCTCGTCCGTCTCGTCACCCTCACACTTGCCCGCCACCAGGGCATCAGCCTGACAGACATATGGAAGAAAGAAGCTTTCGATGATTCACATCGCACGCATCATCCCCGCCCCGCCCCGGCCCGTGGCTTCCATCCACCCGTCTTGTCTTCCTTACGATTGCCAGGAGCAGGTCGATGGGTGCCGTCCGTGTGGGTCTGCTGGATGGAACCGGCCACTTGACGAGCAGGGCCTGCAGAATGAATGACCCGACACGACCCCACAAACGTTAGAGAAACGGCGAGTGCAGCCAGCCAGCGAGTAGCCCGCAGTCATCGTGCGGGCTCCGTACAGATCCTACTCACCGTGAACAGGGCCTGTCTTGGTTGCACCGCCCTGACGTCGGTCATCGCCCACAGCAGGCTGCAGAGAGCCTGGATTGATGCAGCCACGAAGGGTCAACGTCCACTGTCGATGGAAGGTTCGAGGCGCTCTCTCACTCACCTGTGGCGACATTCGTTTGGCTATCACGTTGAGCCTCATTTTGGACAGGAAGGAGGCAGCTGCAGGTGGGGTGGAGGGGCCGCCCAGCACACATGCAGCAGCGTCCCTTGAACCAGCTTCACACCACCTGCACACGATACGTCCATCCAGAAAGAGAATCTGATCGCCCTGTCCCGTCCACACATCCGCGTGAATCCACTGCCTCCCTAACGTACTTACATACCTGAGGCTCTTCTGCAGTGTCTTGTCCATCATATCGTCCCAACTGGCACCCTGCACCCTGCTGTAGGCCGCCAGCATATCCCTGACCGTCGTCGGTGGAGCCTCATCGAATGACCTTATCACAAAAGGCTCCAGCCACCTGAATGAATGAACAAGGGACAGAGACACCATATATAGGGTGGCGTCTCTTCTTCCCCTCTCATGTATGTTGCCGTACCTAAAGCACATGTCCATGCATCTGGGGTCCTCGCTGGCGCTTGTAGCGTCCCGCAGCGAGGTCACAAGCGTCGCCACATCATGTGCCATCCTCTGCTGGTCGTCGGGCTGTCCGCCCACGCCCAGCCGGTCGGCAATGTTTCGGTGGTCGATCCATGTGGTCACCAGGTGCATCATCAGCGCAACTCCGTCGGAGAAGGCAGGGACGGATTCTGCAGCAGAGAGCCGGCTAAGCGCCTGCAAAGGCACATACAACAGGGGCGGAAAAGACCATTCTCATGCCGACCACACTCACGTTGTTTTGTTACCTTTGCTGTTGTTTGGACCAGGCCGACGATTCGTGACGGATCCTGCTGGTCACCGGGTGTGGCGGGTCCCTCTAGCCAGTAGATGCGGCATAGAGAGGGCGCCAGGGAAGGATGATGCTCAGCAACCGCAGAAAGCGCTGACAAACACCACTGACACAACACACACACACACACAGAGGGAGAGCTCGTCTCTCACTGCATGACTATTCATCTCAATCACACCGGTTCGTTCCACCGACCTCTTCATCTCCTTCTTGGCCGCCGGCCTGCCGCATGGAGTGCTCCATCAGCACTCGCAATCCCTCAACAGCTCCGCCACCTCTCCCGGCCAGAGCGGCCACATACGACGGCAACAGGGGGGAGGGAATGGTCCGCAGCGGGTTGCCGTGCGTGGGAATGATGTTTTCCGGTGGGCGGGAGGTGGCTTGGAGGAACGCGGCGAACATGTTGTGGTTGTGGAACTCACACAAACGACGGAGGCCAACCGACGCAACATCCTACACACATCCACCAACCCAACACACGAGAGACAGACAGACAGACAGACAGCCTTGCGTCTTCCGTCCTTTGCTGGGTTCCTTTCGTACCTACCTACCTCCAGCACTGTCTGAGCCTCCTGGGCCAGCGAAGGCACGTCCATCAACAAGCCACACGCCTGGGCAGCGGCCGACAAATCTTCACACGTGCTCCCGACCTCAAGTGCCCTGCCCGCCCCCCCAGTGTACCGCCGCAGCAACTCGCCAACCAGCGCCTCGCCCTCTGCTCCTGCTCGCCCGTCACACACCAGCTCCGCAAAGCTTCTCAGCCACTGACCCCAGTCGCGGACAGAGGCGCGGTCGCTGGCAAGATGGGCCCGCGCTCTCGACGCAATACGCTCCAGCATGCCACATTCGTCCTCCCAATCCCCTCGGATGGCCGCGCGCGTGAAGCTCCACGCGGCCATGGTGGTGTCCGAGGCCGAGAGCGATGAAAGGAAGGGCATGAGCAGGCCCGCCAGGCGCTCCCAGAGCAGGGCGTCGTGCACATCGGCCCTCACGAAGGCCCACGCCAGGTTGACGGGGTTGGACGCGCGTCGCTTGAAGGACAGCAGGTGGAACGACGGCAGACTCCCCTTGACAATGGCATCAGCCGCATGCCTCAGCAGCCGCCCGTCGTAGTACCCCATTCGCGCACACCCCCACAGCACGACCGTCCAGTCCTCCATCGCCTTGCGAGAGGGGGGAGGAGAGGGAGAGGCAGAGGGGCCATCCAGTGGAAAACGCTCACGCAACTGCTGACCCACTCGGACGAAGAGCCTCTGCACAGACGTCTCGGCGCGCCAATGTCCTGGGGATTGCGCCGACTCCATCAGCTTTACCATTCCCCACACCAGATTCGCCAGCTCCCGAGACTCGAAATCACTCAAACGTGTGCTTGCCCAGCCAATAATAAAGCGGCCCATAGCCTCCCTCCCTTGGTATCGCCCCTTGACGGCCGACAGAAACAGACTCAGAGCCTCCTCCACACGTAGCCTCCCTTCCGCATCATCAGCCAGCCGTTCCGTCTCAACATAGTGGAACAGCTCGTTCCAGAGAGGGCGCAATCGGCCATCCACCGCATGACCATCCTCCCTGAGACACTCCGCCCCCGACCACAGCAGGTTGGCAAGCCCCACATGCGACAGCTCGTGCTTGCGCGGGAGGGACGCCTCAAACACACGCGTGATGATGCGGACATGGCCGGTGGGCTTCAGCCGCGCCAGACTGTGTGCGATAGAGTTGAGGTTGCGTGCAGGGAAGGAGGATGCCAGCGGAAGGGAGCGGTCCAGGTCATCCAGTAGCCGCAACAGCAAAGGATCGGACCGCTGGAGAGGACTCTGCTGTGCGCCTGCCAGCTTGGCCCATCTGTGGAGCGCCGTCACCAGATTGACCAAGTTGAAGCCATCAACAGAGGCGTCCACAAGCGCTTCAAGCTCGTCCAGGGACCGCACTTGTGTGAGCCGCTTGTTGATGCGAAAATTCTCTGCAGTCGTGTTGGACATACGTGTGTCGAAGAGATCTTCAGCATCATCATGATGCAGAGCCGGCCCACAATCGACGCGCGGATGAAAGTCCAAAAGAGCCGGAGAGCTGGGCGCCAGGCTGACGGGAGGAGAGGCCTGCGGAGGGGCGGTGAGGGCGGTCGTTGTCACTGCTGCTGGTGCGTGCTGCCGCCGCTGTGCGATGGGAGGGGCGATGAACGTGAGATGCCTCCCGTGACATGATGCAGCACCGAACTGACAGATCCACACTAGATATAAGACCCACAAGGCATCCTTGTTCTTCTGGAGCCTTGCATGGTGCATCATTCATCCTTTTTCTCGTCCCGCCGAGAGAGCGGTTTCACGCAATGTCCTAGCCCTCCGCCTCTTAGCTCGCTCGACAAGCCAAGGGAGAAGGCCGGGGCGGCTTCCTCAGGGGTGTCGGCACCCGTTAAGGCGGATCTTGGCTTGGCATCGAGCTGGAAGCGGAGGATCTGGGTGGTCACCGTAGCTGAAGATCTTGGTTGGTGAAGGCAGTGGGAGAGGAGGATGCCCGTGGCGTCTGGGTTTCAACGATGCTGTACTTCATCCGCCGCTTCTTCATCCGCATCTTCGCCGGAGGGACGAGAGTCGGACGGCTGGCCTCACCCACCACGGGATCATGATCTGGATGACACAGCCAGTGACACCAGTGCCACCCACGACCTAGGGGATGACCGCTTCGAGGACCCTACCGAGGACATCCTCCATCAGTGGATGGTGGGTGTCGGCGCCACATCAACGCCAGATGAGAGCGGCGACCGTCCCCACCCCACGAGGCGTTCTCAGACGTCACGCAGCGAGAGCTCCTCGTCCCCGTTCTCCTCTCTGGCCCACCGGGGTGATGATGAGCGTGCGGAGCGTGACATCGAGACGGAGCGGCAGAAGATGAAGCTGACGGCAGAGGGCGGGGCGTCTGGTGCACCGGCCGTCATCAAGGGATACGACGCCGTCATGCACAAGATCGCCTTGCTGCTCAACGAGGAGGTGAGGTGGGTCAGCCCGCAGAGACAGACCACAGGGAAGGAGGCAGGCCAGGCCGCTTGGACACGTGTGGTTTGTGTGCATGGGTGTGCCATGCCGTCCGTGTATGTGATGTGTGCCTATCTATCAGGATAGCAAGGACGTGACTCTTTGCGTCAAGGATCCTGAGCATGGCCACGTCACTCGGTTCCGCGCCCACCGCCTCCTGCTCGAGGCGCAGAGTGACTTCTTCCGGGCGCTGTTCCGCCCCGGCTTCATGGAGCAGCACAGCGATGAACTGACGCTAAGCGAGATGAAGGCTGATACATTCGCTGCATTTCTCAAGGTAGGTAGCTAGGTCGACACACAGATAAACACACGAGCAGGGAACATGGAAGGGATTCATTCTGTGTGTGCGGTTGTTTGTTTGTTTGTGTCTGTCTGCAGTTCATCTACAGCGGCGAAGTCAGCGTTTCAGCAGACAATGTGTGGCACCTCGTGGAGGTCAGTCAGCTTGAGCAGATAGATGGCCAGCCAGCCATGTGTTGCCATGCATGGCCATGACACCCACCCACATACAGCATGTGCTGTGTGGTTGTGTCTGTCTGTCTGTCAGGTTGGCCATCGGTACACAGTGTTTTCGTTGGTGGAGTGCTGCTGCCAGTGGCTGCAGGGCCACGTGCCCCTCACCAGCGCCAACCTAGTCCCCACACTCAGCCTCGCTGTCCGATTCAGACTCACCACCCTCATCGAGGTACGTACGTACGGAAGGGCCGCCTCGCCGACTGACTGATCACTCCAGCCGCTACGCTACACACGCCATCTTGCCATTCCCTCGTGTGTGTGCTGTGCAGGACTGCCTGGATCACCTCAACGGCCACAGCGAGGTGTTTGAGTCGAGGCTGTCTCAGCCCGGCCCCCACAACCACCCCTCAGGACGCCTTCACCGATCGCAGAGCAGCCGCGACCGCCAGCCCTCAGCCAGCAGCAGCTCCTCCTCTGCCTCCGTCACTGTGGGCGGGCTCTACGGCTTCGTGCACCACAGCAGCAGGGGGGCCAACGAGCGTGGCTACCAGCCGTCCCCGCTGCTGTCGTGTCCGCGCCACATCCTGGAGGAGATCGCCATCAGCGACCGCATCTGCATCGCCGAGGATCGGCTGCTGACGCTGCTGATCGAGTGGAGCTGCAAGCGCCTCACCGCCAGGCAGACCCGCAGACGGGGCAGCAAGACCTGCCACGGCAAGAGGTGCCAGTGCGCGACGCCCGTCTTGCAGGCCCTCCTCTGGCGCGACTATCTGCTGCCGTCCACCGACCGCATCAACGCCAGCGCCAGAGCAGCAGCCGGGCAGCCCGAACAAGATGATGAGAGCCGATCTGTGTCGTCAACCCAGTCTGACAGCACCAGTGGGGGTGCGGAGCTGTCCCGGCAGATGCTGGCGGTCTTGGATGGGGGCAGCGACAACGATGAGGAGGCCGATGACACACAGGAGGATGACGGGCTGGGGGAGGGCGACATGGTCGCCAGTGGGACCCTCAGGCGGCTGCTCAGATGGTGGCGACGTCGGCAGAGGGACCGGGATGACGACAGCGTGAGGGACACGACAACAGTGCGGCGGTCGAGACGGCGTGACGCGCGTCGTTCCACCACGGACCAGCCTAGCTCCTCATCTTCATCCTCTGCCCGCCCGCCCTCCCCCTCCTGGCCATTCTTCGAGAGGGACCGGTCTGGGCGCTGCATCGGCTGCGACGACCGGCTCGATGGCGACCGGGCGACATGGCTCTTGTGCGAGCACTGCGCGGTGCCGGCGGTCAACGTGTGTGCGGTGGACCTCGTGAGAGATCTGCAGGATTTCTGGCCTACTCTGAGATACACGCAGCTGAGCCCTTACGCCTTCGCCGCTCTGCACCAGCTGGTGCGTCTGGTGTCGATGCACCGCGAGTCGATGCAGCCCCTGGTGCTTCCACTGTCATCTCCCCCGCTGTCGGGGCATGACGTGGTGCTGGACATGACAGTCGACAAGCGTCGTGTCAACGAGGGGCTCGGCGACGGCCAGCTGCGTGGCATGCGGCCCACGCGGCCGTTTGTGGCGCTGTGGGACACGACCCCTTACGGCCTGGCCGACTACTCGGTGGGGTGTGCGAACCTCAACACCACAACCATGCACCCGGCTGCTGCCGATTTGGGCTGGCTGGACCGTTGGAGCGCGCCCGGCGTGTCCAACATGGCGGCGAAGGAAGACGCAGCAGCTCCGCCATCGAGTTCCTCCTCATCTCCGTCGCTCCAACCGCCGGCCATGATTCTAGAGCGGCCCCTCACCAGCCCCAGCGACACGCTGCCCACCGCACGGGCAGAGAGCAGCAGCGCCGCGTCCGTCCCACGCACGTCGTCATCCTCATCCACCGTGCCCACCCTCTCGCCGCCCAACGAGCTGCAGCACGAGACCACACACGACGATCCTGCAGCTGGCCAGGGGATGCTTCCGCCCGAGCCACCTGCCGTCATTGTCGATGAGGGGTGCCCCCTGATGTCGCTCCTCGAATCGCTGGGCCATGTGAGGTCCCCCCTGCCAGAGGGCAGCACTGGCTATGACAGGGGTGACGTCCTGAGAGCCATCAAGCCTCCTCAGGCTCACGGAGGCGAGAGCAGCAGCAGCAGCAGCAGCAGCAGCCACAGCCCGGGAGGGGACGGCGTGTGCTGTTGGGGCCAGCAGTGTCCGGCGGGGGAGCGGGCGTCGGGCGGCGGCCTGACGTGGCAGCTTGACCACGAATCGGATGGCGCAGCTGAGCATGGTCACCACAAGGGCGAGGGGAGCGTGGCGGTCCATCCAGCTGGTGCTGGTGAGAGGAGCCTTGTGTGGCGTGACGCCAACCGCAGTGCCGGCTTCATTGCCGGGGCTCTCGACGCCGCAACCAGGGTGTTCAACGGTATGCAAGGAGTAGAAGGACACACAAAGGGCATGCCATGCCGCCCTAATGCATTTCTTTCTTTGCGTTGCTTGCGTGTGTATGCCATCCATCCATCCATCCATCCAGGGTCCTCCCCTGTGCCATGTGTGTGCATGCGTCCGCGATTCACCGTGATACGCTTCCGCTACAAGATGGGCTTCTTCGTCCGCCTGCCCCCGACGGTTAGACACGAATTAGACAGTGCACAGCACAGCTGTGTGTGCATGTTTACTGTGCGCGTGAATGTGATTGATGTGCGTCGCGTCAGGACCTGGACGGTCGCGATGAGGCTGTGCTGGGCGATGGTGTGGACCCCGAGGCCCTGGGCGAGCAGTCCATCACCTCAAGTATGCGCACGGTGGCCTGGCGGGTCAGGATTATCCAAAGCGCCCCGCACCAGAAGATCTTCATCGGAGTCCTCTCGCGCGGCGGCAAAATCGCCAGCCAGGAGTGGCTCAAGGTCACACACACACACAGTCCTGTGTTTGTGTATTCATGGGTGTGTTGTGTTGTGTTGTGTTGTTTTGTGTGTTCAGGGGTCGGCCAAGGTGGCGGTGCGCCGTGGGTGTGAGTTCCGTGTGGTGTTTGACGTCAACTCACGGTTTCTTCTCGTCTTCAACCAGCGGAGGCTGCTCGAGGCCAAACAGGTATGTGTGTATGGGTCGACAACCACACACAACACGGCCATGTGATTGCATCTGTTTGTGTGTAGGTGCCGAGCTACTACATGAACGACGAGCGTACGGCGTGGCCGTTTGTGCGGTCGTCGGGCGGGTCTGTCAGATTCACATCAGCTTGAATGAATGGAATGACCGCCTGTGTGGTGTGGTGGCTGGGCTGGATGGGCGTGGCGTCTCTTTGTGTGTGTTGGGAGTGGGTGGGTCGGTGGATTGGATGAGTGGGCTGGGCTGGGCGTGTGGGCTCCCCCTTTCTTTTTCCCGAAGAGAAGAGCGATGTGTGCGTGGAGTGACGTGGATGTGTGTGTGAGTCAGTTGGATTGGATGGATGTGTTGATTCCTGCTACTGATTGGATTGCATGTCGGTCCGGTGGGTGGGTGGAATGGCTGTGTGGGTGTGTGGTTCCTTTATTTATTTATCCAAAGCGTACGTACATGCGTGGCGTGGGTGTGTGTCTGTGGGTTCTGTGGGTGTGCATGTCATGTGGTGCGAGAGCGGTGTACGGTACGTTGGTATCTGTCATGAATGCATTTTATCTGACTGTCGATTATTTCAGTGAGGGGGTGGATGGGGGTGGGTGAGAACGAGTATATGGATGGATGGATGGATTAACGGTAGTCAGTATGTAGCGTCCCGCCTTGCTTGTACGTTTCAACATCCGAAAGATCTCTGAATGTCTGTCTGTCTGTCTGTCTCTGTGGCTGCCTGCACGATGGATGCTTGATGGATGATCGAGATGGGTGAACGCAAACGGACCAGGAAGTACCATTCTCATTTATTAGCTATCAGTGAACGCTTTCAAGAACCGATATAGGATATTCAATCCACGCTCGTCCACACATTCACGCAGACATCCTCTGGCTACTTACTGCCTGGATCGGCTCCGCAGGGAGGTGCAGTAGCCAGAGAACAGCGATGAGGGCGACACGGCACGCCCATCCGACTGGGCCGACTCGTATGGCACATCAAGGTGGTAGAAGTTGTGCCCCGATATCCACTCGTCCATGTGACCTGCAGTGCATATCGAAGTAATACAACAAACAGGTCATGACGCCTTACGAGCGGATGGGACTGGCACCCACCCACCCACCCACCCACCTGAAGCCACGGCGATCCCCCAAGACGCATCCAGGGGCTCAGGGCCCGTCTCGTCGCCCTCCTGCATCCAGCCCAACATCGCTGTCCTCATCGTCAGCATCGCCATCGCTGATGTACGACACGTCCAGCACGTCTCGCTTGGTGTCAAATGCGTCATAGAAAGGCCTGGGACGCATGAGCAGGTCCTCCTCCGTCTGTGTCATGTGCTGCGGCGGGAAGGTGTCCGTGTCGGGTGTCCGCGGGAAGGGGTGAAAGCGAGATGGGAACGGCAGCGGACAACGCAGACGGCTGTGGCCTGTGACAGGGCAGAGAGAAAAGACGCACACACATACCACATACAGAAAAGAGCAATTGGGTGGGTGTGGTGTGCCTCTTCTTGTCTTCTCTTCTGACCAAGTGCCGTGAGTGCTCTGTTGACAGGTGAGTGATTGTCCCTCGGGAAGGGAAGGGGCGTCGACTCACGGTGGGCGCGGCCCACCACCACGGTCTCGATGTTGACCAAAGACCGCTGCCGACGGGGCTTTGGCTTGCGGCTACGCAACATACACCTGCATCAGGCCATCTATCCATTTGTGTATCAGACCAGATCAGCGAAGGCATACTAGGTGTCTTCATTCCGGTCTCACCTGTCCCTCAGTTTGGTGTCGAATTGAGCCACGGTGGCCGGGCGAGTAACGGCATCATGCCTCTTCTTGCCCCCTGTTCCTCGAGACAATGAGCTCACAGCCTGGAAAGGACACACGGACGACCAGTGAGCGTGCTTGGAAGAATCCGACAGCCAAAGATGTCTCTACTCACCCTGTCGACGTCTGACGGCGCTATCCTTGGCGTGAGAGGCCGTCCACGCACACTCAACGGCACGTCCGCATCATCGCCACCCTTGCATTCCTCCGATTCCGGAACTCCCTCTTTCTTCGTCTCACCACATGTCCTGTCCTCGCCAACCCGCTGCCCCGTGTGCGTGTCAGTTGGTGCGCTGGCCTCTTTCTCGTCCTCCTCTTGGTTGTGTTCCTGCCAGCCCCTCGTCCGCACGCTCTCAAGCAAAGTTGGCGTCGAACACACCTGCGGCAGTGGCGTGGGGGGCAAATGTCGCATGACGGGAGACGGCGTGAAGGGAGTCGACACGCGGGAGGGGACGCCAGACCGCTCGGGGATCCACGGGGCTGCCTCCCTGCCCAGCCGACAAACATCCTCGATCGTTCGCTCTCCGTCTGGCGAAGATAGACGCAGCGAGGGGATGGGAGACGGCAACGGCCGCCCGCCCTCTCCAGCTGTCGTTGGCGGCACCGAGGCCGTGGACGCAGCATCACGCGGACCAAAGGACGGTCGAATGACGGTCGCGCGCTTGCCTTCGTGTGTCGCCTTGAGGGGCTTCTTGGCCGGTGGGTGGATGAGGGGCGCACGCAGCTTGGTGGTGGTGGCAGGGATAGAAACGGACACACCGGCTGCCGTACGGAGCACCGTCATCGACGTGCCGAGCGGCGTACGCCTTTCTGCGCGAGGCCCCAGTGGCCGTCTGTGTGGCGGTTCTTCTTTCGGCTTGTAGACGAGTCCCTCTGGAGGGATGCCAGTTGCTGCAGGGGCCGAGCGAGGTGGGGAGGGCGGGCCCGGGGCGGTATGGGGAAAAGGAGCTCTCCATCTCGAGCCTGGTGCTGTCTTGGCGAGTCGGCCGAGACAGGCGATGGATGGGCTGTACGACGCGGGGCTGCAGTTGGCGTCCGTCGCCCCCGTGGGAGCCACTGCCTCACAAGACAATACACCACACAGACAGACGTTCCATGAATCAATCAAAGGTGTTCGCGTTCGTCTAACTTACTCACAAGTGAGTCGGTCGCATACGTCAACCCGCGCCTTCCTCTTCCCTGTCGACGGGGCGACCATCACCGGACCCCTGCACAGCAGCCAGCAGCCACCCACATTGCAGAGAGTGAAGCTGCACGCGTCAGCGCATGCGTAGCTCACTCACTTTGTCGTCCTCTCGACAGGCGGCATGTACGTCCCAGGTCCTGGCAGGTCCTCCACCCGAGCCCACACATCACTGGCATGGGCGTACGCCGGTTTGGAGGGCGATTTGCGCCGTCGTCCGAGGTTCTGCGCGCCTCCCATCGCCACCTCTATCGCCGGCCCTGTGGGTTGCTTCCGTTTTGAGAACATCGCGGCACGCAGGCGCTATCTGAAACGGAAATCGAGGCAGAAGGGAGAAGAGTCGTGATGGGTATTCGTATACGCTTGTTGCTCTACATGTTCCGAGCGCTGCTCCTGGCAGGCGAAATGCGCGCTGAGCTCGCAGAGCGCGATCGTCAGATCCGGAGAGCATTCGCAAGGCTGGAGCTTTGACATGAAGGCCACCAATCTCAGAGGCATAAAGGGCATGAAACTACACACCTTTGCACTGATGCAATACATGCAGGTCCACATGAACGGGGGATACGCACAGCATGGGCACAGTTGCTCACGAGACCTCTCAATGTGGAGAATAGTCACACAAATAGATAGGTAGATGTCCCCCGTCACTCAAAGGGAGGCACATCCAGTCAGCCGACCTAGATGCTCAACGCACAGAGCCAGACCACTTACTTCACCAAACAAAACCAATCAGCTGACAGACATCTGAGCGACCTCACTCGACCGCCCAACATGCAATACAGACATACGTACGAACTACAGAATCGAAGTACAGGTGACTGACTGGCAAAAGTGTCATATATCTGTCACGTCACTGGCCACAAAACACTTCCCACTCACCCACCAACAAAGAGAGGGGTAGACAGACGGGATGAATTGATGACCTTTATGACCTGATCTCTCAATGGAGCATGGTCACACGATCAGATCGCTCAATAAATGAGAGCTGGTTGCACAAAAAGACGTCCCCCTCACCCGAAGACACAGCGAGTCAGACCGGCCTCAATGTTCAACTTACTAGTCAAACCCACCTCACCAGACAAAAAACTTATCAGCGACAGACATCTGAGTGACCCCCGGACTGTCCAACACACAAACTGCACAAAACACAAACGCCCAACACACAGCATAGTTGATGGATAAACAGGTAGACAGCGTATCAACCCAGATTTGAGGTCAGACGGGATGAATTAACGGCTTCATGACCTCAAACTGTTTCACGTCGTGCGGCGGACTCCACGGAGGTCACTCGCGTACTCAACCGCTGTGCGGCACGACGGGCACCGAAGGACGGCATCGCGCTTGACGTCGTCGGGCACTCGCCTGCGGGCCCTCTCCAACCGCTTCTTCTCCCTTTTGGCCGCCTCGTGTGTCCGCACCCATCGCTCGTGGCATCCGGCACACGCACATTGCTGCACACACACACACACACACACACCCCACACCACACCACAACACGTACACCCCCGTCGCCATGGACGCCATGTGCGTACACTACCTGTTTGCATGGGAAATAGACCACTGTGGGCGGTTTTTCGAGGCATAGCACACAGGTGCCTCTGTCGGCAGCCGGCGGGGCCTCCCTCTCCTGCAGCTGGCCCTCGAGCTTTGTGGCCTCGGTGTGGAGGGCCCACAGCTGCTGCTGCCGCTGCTTGACCTCCGCCTTGAAGGCACTCGCGGCAGCACTGCTGCTGAGGGCGGCCAGCCGCTGCACTGTCAACCTGACGATGCAAACACACGATTGCAGTGCATGCAGCGAAGACATGGGGCAGTAGTGAATGCGTACCCTTTGTCTGCCTCCTGCACCAGTTTGTCGTGCTCTTGCTCGAGTGGCTGCAGCGACGCCCTCACCTTGTCGCAGTTGACCCGCATGGCAGCGATACCCGACTCCAACCTGCAGGTAAACAAGGTAGATGGAGGCATCAGGTGGCTGTTGCTGTCTGTCTTACTTGCGTATGTCGCCCTTGAGTGTCTGCAGCGTCTTCCGCAGCTGGGCCTCGGTGGCTGGCGGCTCGGCCGATACAGACGGCTCTCGAGAATGAGACGATGAAGCGGATGTTGAAGAGCTGCAGACAATAGCCAACGCATCCATCCGTTAGATGTTCGGACAGTGCGCCTGCTTAGCTGCACTTACGTTTCTGCCGTGGCGGCCGTCGACGCACCTGCACTGTTCGCTGCTCCGATAGATATCCCCACCGAGTCGACACTGGTCCGCTCGGCAGCGCTGATTTGATCGTACAGGTCGTCGAGCCGCTCGTGCTCTTCTTTGACCTTGTCACCGAATGCGCGCGCATCAGCAGCAGTCTCACACGACGCCAACACGTCTGTACTTAGACTGAGGAAGAAATAGCAGCGTGAAGAGGTTCGTCTGTGTCCTGTGTGGCTCAATGTGTCTTCGTCGTCCACTCACTCTGGTATGGTGTTGTCTTTCATCTCTCGTATGGCCTCTTGGAGCTGCTTCTTCCGCTCTACAGCACGTCGATGCGCATCGGACAGCTCCTCATACCGACACGACAGACTGCAAAAAGAAGCGGTGCACACACAGCCGTCTCCAATATCTTGCCCGCGAGTTGGTGTCAATCAAGTCTGGCCTGTGTTTCTCGTCACTGGCATCGTGTATGTCGTTCTTGAGCTGAGCAATCCGCCCCTGAGATCTGTTGGCCTGCTCCTGGTTGTCGAACCTGATGCCAAAAAAACACGAAGCGCGGCTGCGTCCCATCGCTGAAAGCATGAGCCCTCATTGGCCTACAGAGAGGCAGTCGGGTGAGATGTCCTGCTGGTTCTGCCTATTCTGCCCGCACGACCGCTGCGCGCCACATCAGGCCCTGTCTGCCCCCCGCCCTGCCCTTGAGCACTTGCATCAATCACTATCCACAGCCACAGACCAGCGATGCCACACACAGCGATGAGCACACCACCCCACTGCAAGTCAAGCGGCAATGACCGAAATGGACAGAAACATGCTGAGCTGCTGAGTTGGCGTACCACTTTGCCAGCGACAAGAGACGCTTCCTGTTCCTTGTGTCGGTACGACGAACCGAGGAGCTCAGAATCCACCTGAAGTAACAGGAACAGATAGCCTCGGGTTGCATAGCGATCTGTCAGCTTGTCTCGTCTCACCCTCTGTACGGTTTTGGCGATCCTATTGTTGCTCCACATCCCTTCCTGCACCTGCCGGTCACCATACCTGTACACAGACAGCGCACGTGTGTATGAGTGGGCCAGTCGTCGTGTCAGTTGACGATGCCTACGATATAAATGCGTTAAGGATGATATTAATCGTCGACGCTACGTGCTTCGCCTGATTGATCTCGCCCCTCTTGATCGCCAGCAGGCATTTGGCGAGCACCTCTGGCAGCTCGGAAGAAGCAGCAGTCTTGATGAACACCTGAAGGAGACACAGGAGACATAAAGACGCTATCTTTCTAGCCTAACAGCCTGCCTGCCCGCCTGTGTGCCTCACCGACCTGTCTATCTTTGGAGAATAGGACGTTGAAGGTGTCTACAACGGCTTGCAGAGACGTTCCATGTGGCCCCTTGGCACGTGGATGGGCCAGAGCATCTCGCATGACGCCAATCGATGCGGCGATGTAGCCGGCATCCAACACACGCTTGCCATATCCGTGCACTGAACACACGCACACGACAAACACACAGGCGAGCACGCACCCATCACACACAGGTTGGTCGTCTGCGTGTCTTTCCATCTGTCGTCCCTTACGTGCCAGCGAGTGAAAAACACGTCCCGTGAGGTCATAGTCTGCCGCCCACTTGGCCGGTCTGTCTCCCAGAAGGCCAGCCATCACCTTGAGGGTTCTCCGCCCCCTCTGACCCACCAGCTGCCCAGCAACGGCATCAGAGACCTCCCAATCGGAGCGTGCGGACACAACCACAAAGCCCAAGAGATAGGTGGCCGCCCACTGCCGCTTGCGGTCGTCATAAGTCAGGACCGCATCGATGACACTGTCGGTGTAGCCACGCAAGTCCAGGGCATGTGGGTCCAGCCACTGCCCCGATTTCATGATCAAACTAATCAGCCGCACAAAGGGAGGGTCTCGTTCTGGGGTGAAGATATCCCAGGCGATGTCGACAGCAAGGGAGAACAGCCAATGCCACCAGGACGGGGGCACCAGGCTGCTGTGGCTGGTGTTGGAGAGAGCAGCAATGAAGGACTCGGCAGAGGCTTTCTCCAATGCAGTAAGAGGGTCGTACAGAATCTCGGCCGCCCGAACAGTAAGGTTGCCGTGCTCTTGGAAGACGACAACGACAAGATCATCGCGCTCCGTCACCGCCGCAGCGAGAAGACCGAACGCCGCAGTCTCGACCAACGGATGGCCGTACTCCCCATCATAACACATCCTCTCCACATTGGCAAACACACACTTCGCTTCGGCCATGGTCATGTTGTTGAAGGGATACTTGCTCATCGATAGCTTGCTGATGACGTCGGCAGCCAGCAGGACGTCCCTGTCGTCGGCGTGGAAGTGCTCAATGGCCCATCGACCGAGAGAGTGAGGACCGGCGGCATCCCTCCTGGCCAGCTTGGATATGAGCATCTGGCGGGTAGCAGCGGGGGCCTCCATGACAGCGATGAGTCTGTCTTTCAGGAAGTGATAGTGGCGGGCGGCCGGGCTCGTGTCCATCTGCCTCATGTTGAAGAAACGGGTATCGGACGTGAAAAAATTGTCCACTGCCTTCGCCAGGGCGTGGAAGTCGCTCACGTCAGGAGAAAGTTTGCAAGATCCACACAATACAGCGGGCAGAGCGCCAATCAAGATGAGCAGGATGATCAGGATACTGCGGCTGCAGCCCGCCATTGCACGTCGGCAGATGAGAACGCAGCTGTCTGGAGGAGGGAACGTCAAGGCGAGCGGAGCTGTCAATTGCCTCAAAGCAATGAGGCGTCGCTGGTCAGTTGCCTCAGACCTCCAAGCTTGCAAATGGTTTCTAGGGTGCTTCCTGAAACTGCTGGCCGTCAGGCCGCTTAGGACATTTCATGAAACCGCTCGCTCCCTAAAGCTCTGGGTTGGTTAAACTTGGTTTCTGCGACGATGGCGGCGATTCAGCGGCTGCTGACGACGGCGTGTGCTGCGCTCCTCGTTTTTTCGCTGGGGATCGATGCATATCTTCCTGGTGCACGCATCGCCCCAGATGTGCTCTCACAGCAGCAGCCATCGAGGCACACGAGTCCACAAACGAAACTGCACGCCTTCCGGCCAATGGACAACAGAGCGAGGGAGCAGAGAACCGTCGGCCAAAACCAGGTCAGGCAGACAGAAAGACAAGCAGTATGCAGACAGGGTGTATCTATGCGTGTGTGTGTGTGCGTGTATGTGTTGGTGGCAGATGATGATAGAGCTGCAGAAGCCGCTGGGCATCGAGTGGAACCAAGATGAATTCGGAAATGTCTACGTCCGCAAACTCACTCCTGGGTGAGTGAGGGAGGGGAGGAGAATGACGGGCCCAGCACACTGCATGTGGAGATCTGGTCGTTCTCACGCTCTCTCTGTTGCTCACAGCGGCAATGCGGATCAGAGCGGAGCCATCAAGCCGGGCAACCAGCTGCTGATGGTGAGTGCGGCGTGGGGTGACGAGATGTGGTCGACCAAGGGCAGCGGTGTCAACATGGTTGAGACGGCCATCCGCAACAGGGCCCAGCCGCCAGTCAGGCTCGTCTTCGCCACACCTAAGGGCCAGACAACAGGACCTGCCGTCGCCAAGACCAAGAGCGACGCCGAGGTGAGGAAGAAATGAGTGGCCACCCGCAGTCGACACACAAATGGATCTGTCTGTCTGTCTGTCTGTGTGTGTGTGTGTGTCTGGCTGCAGCTGCTGAAGGAGCTTCAGGCGGAGGAGGACGAGAGGAAAAAGGATAAGAAGTTCTTCGGGCTTTTCTGATCATTGATTGCGACATCGGTGTGCATGTGGTTTTGAGGGTGTGATGGATGTGCTGCCTGCACGAATCGAGTAGATGGACAGACAAGTGGATGGATAGGCTGAATGCGTCACTGCGTGTGTGCCTGAGTTGCTTTTCTCGTCCATGCAATTACTGATTGTAGAGGACGGACGGTGGACACCTTGCGACTGCGTGCCTGTCTCGAGAAACCGAGTATTCGGTGCATTTCTCGGTTTCTCGAGACGAGCAAGCCGCCACAGGGCGTCCTCACCGCTCCTCAAACAATCAGCCACATTCATCGAAGAGTCAGCCACATTTTTTCATGGCGATCCCCGCAGGCTGGCAGCGAGAGGGTCTCCGGCTTTAGCTAATGGAGGCCACGTCATCCATGCAATGCCACGACAGCGATTGTTTCCCAGACGCGATTGTTTCGATCCCTTGCCGTCAGTCAGTGCGACTGATGGAAGGGCGAGTTCTCACTTACATACTATCGTATGTTGCTCGCCTCACTTAACGTGCACCTACTGCTCACGTGTGCGTGTCTCTTTTTGGTGTGTGGGCGGGGCGGGGGGCAGTGTGAGCATGTGTCATGTGTCCTGTGTCCTCTCTGTGTGTGTGTGAGATGATGTGGATTTGGGCGATCGGCTTGATCAGTGCGATGCGCTTCCGAACTGAGTGCATGTGTTGTCGCCACCATGTGGCTTGACAGACACACTGAATGCACTGATGACGAACACGAATTAACCAACGTGCCAATAGTCCCTGGTATGCACACACATACTCATCCCTCTCTCATCGTCTCTGCCCCTCCGCCCGCATCTGTCAGCCCTCCATCGCTCTCTATCGTGGTGGGCCGCCTCGAGAAGGCCATCACAGCAGGGGGGACTGGCTGTACATCCCCCCCACTGTCCTTGTCTGGCGTCATGTGTCGGCGGACTGGTTCGGCTGATAGCGAGCGAGAAGGGTTCGCCTCAGAGACACCTGTATTGCATGCATCCGTACATTCACGAATGACACGAGCACTTGTGATGCCTATGTGCACCCACACCCATACTTACCCTTTTCCGGCTTTGGGGCTTGTGATGCATCGCGGTACAAGCGACTGAAGATGTCACCTGTCCAACACACAACGAACGATGTGCTCCCTCTGTCGCGCCTGTATGTCAGTCGCCACAGCCCCGCGACCAGCCGTGTACGCCTACCGTCTCTCTTGAGGTTTCGTGCCTGTTCAGTAATGGCGGGTTTAAAGGTCGCATCTGGCGCGACACGGTGGTCCACACTCGTGTGTTGGGACCGGTCGAGACGCCGACGCTGACACAGAAACAAGGAAGGCATCAATCACGGAATGCCTCCCGCCTGACTTACATGTATGTCGCGACTCATTCTCTCGAGCAGACCGGGGGGCAAACCGGCCTGAAGCATAGCAACGGACGCAGCGCGGGCTGAGGGACAGACCGCCATTCCTCCCTCCCGCCTACCTTTCGGAAGACCTGCCGGGATGCGTTTGAGACCACGGGGGCAAACGTGCACTCACCAGACTGATGACACCCACCCACACACACATCAGGGTGTCGGTATGTGATTCCACGCACCTCTTTCTCGTGTTTCTGGTGTATCTGTTGTCGCCTCCTCTGTTCCCTGTCAGTGGCCCAGCGATGCAGATCGGACACCACACGCGCGCCGGGCGGCCTGTCGTGTGTCCTATGTCTGTTGATGTGGGGGGCCCGCAGCTGCTCTCTCTCGCGCCGCAGCTGATCCGCGCTGACACACATACACAGAGGAGGATGCCAGGCGTGCGAGTCTGTGGCTGGCTGAGTGTTACCGTTCCTTCTCCAGGGCTTGCTCACGTTTCTTCAGAACGCTGGCCGACTGCATAACACAAACAACCACACAAATGATCACACATGGATGATCTTGCCAGTCACGAACGCCTGTTGCCTGCCTTCCATTACCCGTTCGCTAATAGGCTTGATGCCCTGCGACAGCCGACGGGACCGGGCATTCATCAGCGGCGCCTGTGGGGAACACAGACACAGACATATAGACAGGAAGGCTAGCCGGTGATGCACTGGAGAGCAGGCGCATATATATGTTCTGTCGGTGCCTGTGGTATGGTTTCCGCTGGAGGTCTCTTGGACATGCGCACCTGACCGACGAATCAACCGATCAGACATGCGTCCGTGTGTGCTGAATCTCCGCTCACTCACCACTCTGTCCGACTGCCGTCGCCCCAGCACGCTCCTGTTCGTCTCGCCCTTGCCAACCAAACCGCCAGCGTCACCGTCCCCATCCGTCCGGACACTCTCCTGCCCCGCGTGTGATGATTGCGAGGGCAGCGCCGGCACGCCGATCCATGAGGGGGGCGTGCAGCTCACCGTGTACATGGGAGGGGGACTGGCGGGGGGCAGGCGGGTGAAGGACAAGGCACGGACGGGGGAAGCCGATGTGTCGGAGGCAGCAGCTGATGGATGGGATGGCATGGCATGACACAAAATATAAGAGCACAAGAGGGAGAAGGGACAGTGGCAGTGGATTCAGATGCATGGCGGTGTGTGTACCCGTGTCCTCGTCGAGCGCCGAGTCCACCAGCTGCGACACACGGCAAGCCAGAGCGTCAATCTCACTCTGGAAGGGGCACAAGAAACGTCATAGACAGTGCAATGGATGCGGCATCGTCATGGTCTCACCTCGGAGGCCGTCAGCAGATGCTGCGGCACAACCCACCCCTCGCTCCATCTATACTCACCATTATCACCCTGCACCGCAGCATTGATGCATGCATTCAATAATCAAAACGGTGCTCTCCGGCTGTGTGCCCTGACATGGGCTTCTATCAGTCGCTCTCGTTGGTTCTGCTCCTGCCTCCAGTGCCTCTCCAGTTCCCCAAGTGAAGGCACGGCCGCCATGCAGCGATGCGCATAGAATGAGAGGGACCGTCTGAGGCTGCCGGGAACAGTTGTAGCTGCAGACAGATCTACGCTATCAGGCTGATCAGACGCCATCTTGCTTTGCATTCAAGCTCGCGCGGCCGACCGTTTACGACCCACCGCCCATAGAGCCTTACTCAAGCGCACAAACGACCGACAATGGCAGCAAACACGATGGTAAAGGACAGCAGCGGAACACGCAAACCCACCAGAAGACACGCGAGCAGCAGCAGCACACACAACCCAAGGACAAACCACAAGCATGCGTCATCCCGTTCATTCCGAACGATCATTTCGTTCGTCGTAGACGGCACAGAAACACAGTTACACAGACACAGACAGCAATTTGACGGCATGCACAAAGAAAGAAAGAGAACACAGCCAAACTCAATGGAAACACGCGACACACGACTGTCAGGTCACACACGACCCACGATGCAACTGATGAATTACAGCAGCACACATTCCCACAAACATCAGCCCGCATGTCTCGTGCAGTTGCATGCCGTGTCTATCATCGGATACCCCCATTTCCCTCCCCCAAAAAAAACTGGCTGACAAAGACATATGGACAAAGGGATTGATGAGAGATCCAAAGAAAGAGAAGACCCTCATAGCACAATGCATGCGAGAGCTGCACTCAGTGGATCTCCATTGTCAGCGTGCTTAGGCGTCGTTGTTTTCTTTCATCGTCGTCCGATTTGTCCGGTCGTCCGGTCTGTCTCGTTTCTTGTCGTTCTTCTTGTTCGGTCTGTCCGGCTCCTCTCCAGTGTCTACAAAAGGATATAATGTAAACTATTCGCAAGATCCGACGACACTCTGATATGCTGTCCCACCTTTGTCCCCTGGATTATTTGGTCCCGGTGGTCCAGCGGGCGGACATAAGTCGATTGACAGCCTACATCCCTTATAGTCGGTGTAGCTACCATCGGCATGAACCACCACATCCTACACAACAACAAACACACAGGTGCGTGTTATTGTTCTTTTCTTGCTGCTACCGCAGTTGCCGGCTTGTCTCCGTATGCCATAATGTAGGCTTCCAATAGAGAGCTGTGTATGGTGGAGATGTACACGTAATCCTCGTAGCATCCTCTGGGGACGCGACGGACACACACTGGAGGATCATCAGCTGCAGTGCAGGGGGAGATTGGATCACCCGGCCCTTCGCAGTCGATGCAGATCTCCGGAGCCATCCATGAGCCGCGAGGAGACGTCCTTTCGCTGCAGAAAGAGAGGTGAAGGGTGAGAAATTGTAGCCATCTTGTTTTCGCACCCGTCGACCCAGGTATAGATGTCCGCGTCGCCAGAAAGCGAATATCGTGTTGTGCGCGAGTTGACAGCCACTAGCGCATAGGAATAGCCGAGATTGCGGATGTGATCCTGCACAACACAACATTCGGGGCAAGAATGCAATGAATGCAATGGTGTCTGATTTCTGACCAGATCAACGGAGACTTTCGCGTAATCACGGGTCAATTGGGTTGCGTTGAACGGGTGGATGGTTTTGTTGAACGACTCAAGCACTGGACACAACTCTTGTTCCCGCTGGAGATCCCTCACCTGAGGCTCCCATATCGCCAGAAAAGGTTGCGAGTGAAGGACGCAGCCAAGAAGCAAGAGAATCGAACGCATCGTGCCTCTGTGATTTCCGCACCAGTCAAGCCTCATACCAGCAGTCAATTCTTACCTTGTGCAAAATAACGGCGGGCCGTTGCGGGCCGGGGCTAAGCGCGCAACTGGAACTCGTCGCAAGGAAGGTCTTTCGCCGCGCAAGGTCTTATCCGTGAACGCATTCAATGAGTTCGGCCGCTGCGAGTCCTCCCCCGATCCTCCCCCCTCCGCCCCAGAGAGACCTCCATCGGCTGGACAGGCTGGACATTCACTCCAAGGACTTCCACCAGTCGCGAACCAAGTCGTCATCCAGCTCCAGTGCCTCATCGACCAATCGCACGCGGCTGAGTGCTGAGGGGAGAGCCCATGACGGAGGGGACGTCGACGAGGGCCAACAGGTGGAGGGGTGGCTCGCCAGGGTACAAGAGCACTTCGCCGCCCAGGCCAACAAGCCTGATGGTACACACAGGAAGTAATTGTTTACTCGTGTGATGGATACACGATTGTTTCGTATGTTTGTCTGTCTGTCTGTCTGCAGTCGATGTGTCTGCCAGTCGGGCTGGCCCAGTGCCAGTTGGCAGGACACAGTTCACCAACAAGGCCAAGACGGTGCTGTCACGGTGGCAGGTGCTCAACGCATTCACAGGGGGGCGGCTCAGCAGCGCCAGCACACAAGCGGAAGCGGCCAGCGCCACCCCATCGCCTGTGCACCGCGTCATCCAGTGCGATTCTCACTCTCATTCTCATGCTCATTCTCATTCTCGTGTCCGCGTGCACTGTTTGCTTTGTTTGTTATGCTATTAGGGAGAAGGAGGTTGTATCGCCCACTGCGTGTCAGAGAATTAGTGAACGGCTGGTCAGACACCGACAGGAAGACAGAGACATAATGAACGGCCGGCACACACAGCGTCTATCTTGCAGGCTTCTGACTTTGACTACGTCCTCGGCACCGTCAGTGAGATTCGAAGGCAAATCGAGTACGCATGCTATGGATGGGCGGCGAGAGCCGTGTCCCCACATTCTCTGTCTCCACTGATTGAAATCCGCTATGTCTCAGCCCCAAAGCGAAGGCAGCCCCTCCGATGCCGGTCTCCGTCACCGCCCGGCCCTTAACAGTGGTGGTGGGTCAGGAGGAGGGCAAGGGTGATGCGGGCGGCTGGGATGACGACGAGGACGAGGAAGAGGAGAAGAAGCCGCAGGGCGTACTCGAGAGACTTGCTGCCAAAGTCGAAGAACAGAGGTACAGAGACGGGCAGAAAGATGCAAAGCCCCGAACCGCTTGTGCCCTGTCCCTGCGTACAGGCTAGACAAGCAGCTTCAGGCAGCGCTGGACGTGCCGACATCCCCTGTGCGCGGTAAATCGCCGCCGCCCTCCCCTACGCTCGCCAGCGGCCGACGGGTGCCCACCGTTGCATACAAGGCCGCATCAGCATCCGATACGCATGGCAAGTAAGATGGACAAAGCCGATAGCGTGTCTTTGTGGCTGAGTCGTGTGCATGTGTGTTTCGTAGAGTAGGCTTGTCAGGCTGCCGGATGTCAAGAAGATCCAGGCATCCCTGCTGGGGGCCGGCAGCAGCGCCACCATGCCAGTGCTGTGTGAACTAGCCGAGAGGCGGGCAAGAGACCGGAAGCGCTCCCCGACAGGAAGCAGACGCAACTACCTCAGGTCAGGCTGGTCAGCTGTCTGTCCGTCCATCCCACCAGGCACCGCACATCTGCTGATCGATTGCTCTTATTGATCCAGACACAATCGCAGCACCACAGACTACCACCGCCCCGAGAGCCGGCAGGCGCGCATTACTGCGGGCAGGGATGTGCAAGAGGATCGGTACCAGTACGCCAGGCGGTTTCAGCGCTGGAAGCACCTGCAGCAAAAGGCCATCGTGGAGCAGTGGGATATACAAACCGAGGAAGAGCAGAATCTCCTTGCCTCGTACGCAACACACACCCAACACAGCAATGCCTACTCACACAGGCCTGTGTCGTTTGGTGCAGTCTTGGCCTCGAGGGCATGTCGACTCGACTGTCCGCCCGGTATGTGTCCATAGCAGACATGACGTCCAGCCAGCGGTCGTCGAGTCCGTCAATCACCTTTCCGCGGCCATCATCGGCGCAGAGTCGACGGCCGACAACCTGCCCCAGAAGCCCAGTGCCTCCGTCGAGGCGGCGCGACAGATATCGCGAGAGCTCAGGCGATGAGGAGGCCATGTCGTCTTCGTCTTATCCCGGGGAGGACAGGGGCAGCATGGAGCTGTCGTCGCTGATTGACAGAAAGAGGACGAGGTTTCTAGCTCAGGTGAAGATGGTGCAGGCCAAGCGGGGCAGGGAGTTCAGGGGGCCAATGGACATATGGACCGACGATCTGAAGCGGCCCGCATTGTTGATGAAATACGTCTTGGCGGCCATTGCTATGGTGGGATGAATGAAGAGAAAGAACGGGCGCAGGGCATTGATTGCCTGATTTGTTCATTCAGACCAGCTTTAAGGGGTGCAAGGATGGGAAAGTCCGAGCGATGTTGAGGAAAGTCCTTGTCAAGAAGGCCCGTGCCGTCATGACCACCGCCCGCTTCACACAGCGCATGAAGCAGACGTAAGTCGAGTCGATATATGTCAACCCCAACTTGCATTGTGTCCACACGTCCGCCCATTCCATTGCGCACTCCGTGTATGTGTGTGCAGGGTGCAGATTCACCGCTCGTGGGCAAGAGTGCTGCGCATTCTGAGGATATGGCGGTTCCTCTATCGGGTGAGTGAGTGAGCTCGTCGGACTCAGAGACACACACTGGCTGTACCGTGCTATGCTGTGCTCTGCTGTCGTCTGCCAGATCCGCCAACGCAAGAGGTACGCAGACGTCTTGGTGGTGCTCTTGCGACGAGAGTACGAGAAGTCTAGAATGCAGGGCAGCCTCTTCAAGTGGAGATGGTGAGAAACGCTTTCAAAGCGCAAAGGAAGGCCATTTAGCGACCGAATGGAAGCGATTTCCATTGCCCTTCCTGCTCAGGCGGATTCGGAGGCTGCAGACGACTTGGCGGAAGTTCCTGCAATGGAAGACATTCCTCAGACAATCCCTGAGCAAAAGGTGAACATCTCATACTTTGCCTATCATCCATCCATCCATCCACCCATGCTGATTCGATTCATCAGGTGGATGGAGATCGAGGTGTCTCTGATCAAGAGCAAGCTGGGTTCCTACGCGCAGCAGCAGCGGCGACAGAGCATCGTACACCTCACTCAGCGCCGCGCCAGCATCTTTCAGACGCTGGAGCCGCCCGTCCTGGCCTTGACGCCACCTACTGCCGCACAGCCGCAGCCACTCGTCAAGTCAGCAAATGGCGCAGCCACGCGCGCCGACGACATGAGAGTTGCCGGGCCTGTGTATGTGTGTGTGTTTGTGTGTGTGGCAGGGATGGCAAGCAGCCCCCGCCCAAGACGGGCGGGCCGCCAAAGGGTGGTGGTCGGCGGCAATCCATTGTACAGCCCCCCACACCTGGCATCACCGTCACACCAAGGTACGTAGAACAGACAAACAGATGCCACGCACATAAACACGCACACACAGACAGACCGACAGGGCGAGCGGACGTGCCACCGATGTATGTCATCATTGCAATGTGTGTGCAGTGTGACGGCCGATGCCACAGTGGGTGCCGCCATCGATGCGACAGTCGCCAACCTCATGGTGGGTGAAGTGATAGGGTGTGACAGACAGACAAAGCCCACAGACATATGTACTTGCAACACACAGCTGAGTGAGGAGGAGAGAATGGCACTGATCGACGCCGAGCTGTATCGAAGGAAGCAGGTATACAAGAGGCAGTATCTTGACTACAGAAACGACCTCCAAGTCTACAAAAAGAACTACGGGGTAGGTGAGTGTCTGACTGGCATCGCATTGAATTGACGTAGGGATGTACACCGACCGCCTCTATGTCACATGCCATGTGTGCCGTGCAGGAGTGGGAGGCCTTCATCGGCACCTTCGGCGTTGCCAGGCAGCAGATGCAGCGTCACTCCATCCCCCTCACCATGCCTACACCCCCGCGGCCGTACTGGCTATTCACCGACGACGATCTGCGCCGGCTCGTGCAGCAGGCCCTCGCCGACAAGGCCCTCCGCCAGGCGCGACGGGGGTCACGCACCTCACCCAGTGGCTCGCCAACAGGGTCTCCCAAAGCCACACCAAAGCACTCCCCCAAGCTGACGGCGTTCGGTCACTCGCGGCGTCGGCGCTCATCCACGTCTCCCGCTTCGCCCTCTGGGTCGCCCACTGGGTCGCCGAAAGCATCCCCAAATCTGGTTGGAGAACGTCGTCGGATCAGCAGAATGCCTTCCTTTGAATAATCAAGTGAAAGGCTTATTTTGGGGTTTAGAGGGTGGGTGCACTGCATGGTCATTGTTGTTCATCGATCGGGATGCTATGGACAGTATGTATCAGAAGGAGGCCACAGTCGATGGCCGGGTGCAGCAGAGCAGTAGCAAAATGCAAAAAAACAAGTCAGTCGTGTCTCTGTTTTGTTGTTTCTCGCGGCTCGACTCAAGTTGAGCAAAGACCCCGAGCCAGGCCCGACTCGTGTCGTGTCTCTCCATCACTCACACATCAACGCAGCCAATAATAATGGGTTGGTGTTGCCATGCCATTCATCTCTTGACTGTGGGTGCTCGCAGTGCCTGCACCCACAGCGGCGCTCTGTGTCCCATAGGAGATGTGTCGATGTCCGACAAACCCGACACCACACGACGCTGACACACACACAGCACACACACACAGAAGACAAGAGACACACACATGCGACACAACACTCCTCGCTGACTGTAGGCGCGTGTTCTCGGATGTACCTCACCTCTTGCATCATCTTCTCTTTTCTCTCTTGGAATTGCAGATGGAGGTAGCTGTCGCCGCGAAAACCGACCAGGGTCGGCAGCAGCGGATTCGAGGTGAGGAAGGCCTCCATCGCTGCCGGAATGAACCGCCTGATTTAGACGCACAGAGAAGGAGGATGATGGACATTCATTGTATGTGTGTTCGCGGCCATGTGCTTGCCCATCCATCGGCCCACCCTTGTCTCTGCGAGTCGATGAGGATGTGATGGACCTGCGCAATGTTGTCAGCAAGTGCAGCCCCCTCATACCGTCTCTTCTGTCGCGTCACCCCATCGCCGCCCTCTCCACCGCGCGGCGCCACCATGCAGCCCCTCACCGCCGCCAGCGAACACAGCCGTTCGGGCAGACTCTCACTCCGGCGGGACAGCACCAGCCAGTCGGCGTCTCTCATCGCGAAACCGCCCTCAGGATCAACCAAATCCTCTATGTGCACCTCGACGGCCCGCACCGACGCCGCATGCAGAGCCCGATACCTCTGGGGAAACCTTTTCATCGCCTGTCGCTGTATGGCATCCCTCAGCTTCTCGTCTTTGTCCCTGCTGTCCTCCTCTGCCGCAGCTGGTGGGAGGCTCAGCGACGCACGCCGCGCCATCATCTCGGCCCGTCGACGATGGACCCGCAGCGTCCGTTTAGGCGCCAGGACGGACGTAGTGTTGCCCAGCGAGACCCATTCCTCAAGCCCCCTCTCCGAGACCAACACACGAGCCAGCGCCACACGGTCCGCCACCGGCACCACATCGAGTTGGGGCACGCCTTGCGAGTGGGAGGTGGCCGATGCGGCCGACCGGGGCGTCTGTCCCCCTTGGTGTGACGGGTGTGCGCTCGTCGGGCGGGGCGTGATTGTCCTCATTTGACTGTCCAGCAGCAGTGGGGCCGAGACGCGTCGGGACATCGCCTGAATCGCCGTGTCTTCAGCAGTGTCGGCTGCGGACGGCTCGAAGAGCACCAGGAGACCGATGACTTGGCAGTTGGCGTAGCGGGAGTTGATGAAGAGCCGGGCCTCGTTAATGAGGGAGAGGTCTTGACGAGTCAGTAGTTTCTTTGGGCCGCATTTGAAGTAGAGCAGCACGGCGGTGAGATGATGGGGGGCTGAGGCGGGTGGCTGGGACAGTGCCTCATCTGCTGCTGCAGGGCCCTCCTCAATATTCTCTGTGCCTTCCATTCCGAGAGGGGAGGGAAGGGAGAGACTGCCAGCAGCGATCGGATCGGCCGTTGAATATTCCCCGCTAGGAATGGCAAAACTGTACACACACCAGGGCAGGCAGGCGTCACCGAGGCAGTCACCCTCCCCGCCCCATGCACTGCACACAGTACTCACCGCGTCGCCTAATGTCAACTACTCCGGCCTGGCATCAACTATCACCCATTGCAATGGAGCGGACACAGCAGATAGAGATAGAGAGACAGATAGAGGGGAGAAAAATATCACTCATGCATGGCATGCCTAACCGCACGCAGACACACATCAACGAATATATGCATGGGGTCCATGGAGTTCCACAGATGCGCAGGGACTGCACACCACACCGATGGGTCGCTGTACATGCATCCAATGGCAGACAGGCTGGCAGGCAAACAAGCGCATGTCGTCGTTTGTGCAGTCAGTCGGTCAAACACTCGATCATCGGCCGCGAGGGACGCAAAATTTGATGCGTCAGGCAGGCAGGCGGCCGCAATACAGACATTCTCTCTCTCTCTCTCTCTCTCTCGTGGTGGGTGTGGTGGGTGTGGTTGCTTTCGTTGCATCACACCCACCACAACGGCAGCAACCACAGGCCCACCCGCCCACCCTTTCCCACAATGAATGGCACACATGCACACATGACATCCACCTGTGTGTTCACACCTGATGCGCCTCAGCCAGCCAGCCAGCCAGCCAGCTGGTAAAAGCACGTCTGTATGTACGTCTGTATGTGTTCATACGACGTGTGTATATCCCTCCCGCCCGCCCTCCCGCCCTTCACTGTCTCCCTCCCTCCCTCCCTCTGTCGCGAAAGTGCGTAATGGGGGGAAACACACTTGGAGACAGACAGAAAACACTTGGTGACAGACATTCGTCCGTCTGGCTAGAGTCCGTCCCAGTACTCGACCTGCCCGTTGTGCACGTGTGTCTGGGGATTGGTGAGTGCAGTGGTGGGCGGGGGCTCCCTCCCGCCACCACCGCCGCCGCCGCCGCCGTAGCCGACACCCACCACACCCCAGGTCTTCTCCTCGCCCTCGGGATTCACCTCACGCACCAAACGGACCTGACAGACAGAATACGCACAGACACATACATGTACTCATTGCTGGCTCTCTCTCTCTCTCTCTGTGTGTGTGTGTGTGCGTGTGTGTGTGTGTGTGGTTTACCCATGGGGATTGTGCAGAGAGGCCGTCCCATACGAGCTCGCCGCCATTGGCGCCACCCCCGTTGTTGTTGCCCAGCAGAAGCTGCGAGTGCATGCTGATCGCACGGCTGGGCGACGTGACCATGGTCCGGTGGTGGTTGAAACTTCCCGGCGCCACCAGCCCCGCAGGCGACCTCTTGACCACATGCTGCTCGGTCTTGCGGCCAGAACCGCTGCCGCCGATCTCCTCCGGCTCGTGGTGCGCGTCGACCTCATCGGCACCGCTGCTCGACGCCGCCTTCTGCTGCTGCTGTGTCTGAGTGGTTGTGTTGAGGGCGTCTGGCCCAGCACCACTAGCAACGGCCATCATTTTGACGTATGAGGTGAGCAGCCTGGCTCGGTCGGTGTCGTTGGATGTGGCGGGTGAGGGCATGAGGGAGCTGCTGGCGTCGTTGCTGGCGGCGTCCAGGATGTTGACCGATATGTGGGAGGCCTTGTGGGTGAGGTCCAACGCCACAGGGGTTGTCTGCACAGAGAGGGAGGGAGGGAGGGAGGGAGAGGGAGAGAAAGGTGTGTGTGTGGGTGGGTGGGTGGGTGTTCGAGTGCGGCGTCGCACTTCTGGTTCTAAAGAGTTGGCCGAGTTGGCGTAGTTGCGCGAGATGGCCCACACGACGGCGTCGTGCAGAGAAAGGAAGCACCGCTCCGCAGGCACATACTGGTAAAACTCTGATCGACCGATGATCGAGACACACACACAGGCAGTGCAGCGCAGACACACACAGAAGGAAGGGGTGTGGACGGTCGGTCGGTCGTGACTCACTGGCTTTGTCGAGGAAATCCCGCATGGGGCCTTTCCAGTTGGCGAACATCAGAGCCACCTGCACCCACTCACCACCACCACCAGCCCATCGCATGCAGCACACACCCAGGACACACACAGAGAGTGACCACAAAAACAGGTGGTTGGGCCGGGGGGGGGGGGGGGGACC